CTTGTATAAGATCTTGCTGACTCCTTTGCCTGGATCTGTTATTGTTCTCATAGTCTTCGTCATATCCTCGAGATCGTTGTCTAGATTGGTTGAGGTTGGGTTCAGGTTGAGTTCTCTGTCGTGACTGGTTCAGATTTGATTCAGGTTGAGATCGTTGTCTAGATTGGTTGAGATTGGGTTCAGGTTGAGTTCTTTGTCGTGACTGGTTCAGATTTGGCTCAGGTTGAGATCGTTGTCTAGATTGGTTGAGGTTGGGTTCAGGTTGAGATCTCTGTCGTGACTGGTTAAGGTTTGGCTCTGGTTGAGTCCTCTGCCGTGACTGGTTGATATTTGGTTCAGGTTGAGTTCTCTGTCGTGACTGGTTAATATATGGCTCAGGTTGAGATCTTTGTCTTGACTGGTTGAGGTTTTGGTTCTGATTTGACCTTTGACGTGACTGATTGTCTGTCTGGTTTTGTACTGGGTGTCTATCGTCAGACTGACTTTCTCCGTGAGGTCTCACCGACCCCCTCGTTTGTTGTTTAGTTCCTGCTCTTGACCCTTGTGACGTATGTTTCAAAGTCCTCGCGGCATCATTCATAGAAGTCATAATGTCCAGCACACAGTAATGAAGAAAAGATAGATCACTAATTCCTTACAAGCAACGCATCCAAAATTAAATCAATGGCTTTAACACTGTACTGCTAAGAAAGTTTATTACATATTATAAATGGATCCGATGCTAGAGTCCTTAATCCGAATTATAAACTTTTACTGACCCGGAACAAGTGGATCATAACATTTAATCGTTGCCCAATAACAGTCACAAACACGACTGCCATGTCACATACTTACAGAGTATTTACGTTCTTCACTGACCACGTATTTTAGAGTTTTATTTTATTTATTTTAGAGTCAAACGTGTTTTGTTTTTTAATGCCTTGTAATACTCCACAATCTTTTAAATAACTCATGAATTTATACAAGTTTGTAATGTTTACTTTGATAACACATATTTACAACCCATTTTTCGTCAACATTTATGTAAATTTTAGCATATTCCACACGGCCAAAGGAACGGGGGTGGGCAATATTTCTGCCAGCTTAGTGACATGTGCAGAGAAAATGTATCGGTAGTCTCTTTAGAATTGCTAGCGCCCCACCCACCCAACACCACCACCGTCACCCCGGGCTATCGTAAGTTTTGACATTCCTGGATCGTTGGATATATAGATGATATGTTATGCCTACCCCCCCCCCCCCCTTAAAAAAATTAATAATCATGCATATGTCTACGTACATGTCTCATGTATGAAATAGTGCATTGTTTAGACTTATGGATTTTCACGCATTTCATTGCCGTGTGTGGACTGAGTTTCTGTTAGACCCTTCTACATAAATTTGATCAAGTAGTATTGTAGTACTGTATCTGAGATTGGGTTAGTTTAAATATGCTGGCCCGGGTATCAAAACATAAGTGAGTTTATTTTATTTCAAAAAGTGTACTTCATGCATTTTTTTTATCATTGGATTATAATTTATTATTCTAATATCTATGGTAGTAAAAATCAGTTTTAACTTATTTCTTTGAAAACACGCCAGAAAATAAATAAAATCACTCTAATGTCAATTATCTTTGGATGGAAAATATAAACTATGACATGTATTTCCCCTTTTCTGTAAGAAAAAATAAATAAATATTTTGTTTTTTTATGAGATATTCCGTGTATTGGACATTCTCGAGCCTACATTTAGAATGTGTTTATGTATTTATAACCTTCTGTTATTATATAAGAGACCTGTTATTTGGACATACGCATAAAGAGCTCCCTTGCTTTAGAGGTCAAATGTCAATCTCCAAAATATATTCCATTTCAATCATTCTCTTGATTTTTCGTAAAATTTGAATTATACATTTTCTTTTTAAGTATTATGACATATATATTATTTCTGCCCCCTACATGCAATATAAATTACGTCAATACGCGAGAAAAGTATGTCAACATGTAAAGATAATTATGTCTACATGCAAGATTTGTTGACATGCGCGTTACCAATCTTTTCAGGGAATCTAATTTTAATGTAGATAAATTTATTTACTTTACCAACGCCAGTATCTGATATCCTACATCCAAGATGAGGCAACATATCTATGTTGACATGCGACTTGTTTATGATAACATGCGATATGATTATGTAGATGTTCAACATTCGATATACCGTATAACGGGTATTTTCTGCGGTTGTCCAATTTTTGCGGAATTTTGCGGATAGGACAAATCCGCAAAAATTACAATCGCAAAATATTTTTAAATATTTCTTCAGATATATATTTTATACATGCAAGTATGATAAGTGGCGCTTATGTCCTCGTTAGCGAGAAAATTCGGGTGTCATCGAAATTCGAAGATTTTAGATATCAGGATTTTTCCAAAACATATTGAATTAAAACGTTGCTGTAAATAATATCAAATTAATAAGTTTATACAAAAACATCTTTCCTTGTACCTACTTCTTTATTTTATACGGATATACATGTACATGTAAATGGCTAAAAGAGATTTCGCAATTAATAGTCCAAACTCCGATAGCTGCAAACAACACATAGTAGCTTTTCTCTCTTTCTTTAACACTTTTTTCAATCTTGTGTTTTATCTGGAGACCATAATTACTGCTTGTATACACAAAGTGGCTTGATTGTCTCGTGTCTCGTAAATTTCACACAATGCAGACGACTGACAGGATTAGTTACGCCTCAGTGCACATGGCACCTGTGATTGTACACGGTCAACTTTAGGTTACTTGATTATGCAACTGTTTGTTTGAGCTTAAAATATAAACACCAGATTAATTTTGATGGCGATTAACTTTAAGTGTATTTTTAGAATATGGCTTGGATGCGTTAATTATCTATATATTAAAATATTTTAGTAGATCGCATAAAACGTTTGTTACAATGTAGAATAAAGATTTTTTATTGTTGTTTGGGTGGACCGATACTAATTTTACAAAGACTAACTGAAAGATAGCAGTTTAATTAAGCTTAATAGCTTAATACCAGTTCTCATGCAACTTTGATCAATATGTCTCAATGAATTTATAAAACGTAAACATGGCAGCTAACTGATAATTCTTAGAGATTGGTGATCATACCCAGTAAATAATTTTTTGCGGTATAATGCAACCGCAGAAATTGAAAACGCAGAAATTAATTTGCTATCTTTTAGGGGTTAAATCGCAAAAATTTCCAACCGCAGAAAATACCCGTTATACGGTAACTATGTTGACATGCGACTTATGTCAACATGCAAGAAAGTTTTGTTGACATGCGACTTATTATTATGATTAATTTTATTCACATGTCTTTTTTATGTATTTTAAACATTGTCTCTTTTTATATATTTTAATTGTAAAGCGCTTTAGAGGACTCAAATTGATAGAGCGCTATATAAATTTTTATATTACTACTATTACTATTATCTTGCATTTTCACTCAAATAAGTCGTATATCAACATAATTATCTCGCATGTTGAGTTTTGACATAAATATCTTGCATGTTAACATGATTAACATGTTAACTTATAAAAATAAGTCGCATGTTAGCATAATAACTCGCATGTCGACATTAATAAGTAAATTTACTCACCTAGTCACCTTGTCATTGGTCATTCGCAAAATTATTTTGTTAAAAAACATTCTGATTGTATACACACAAGTACTCTGAAATATATATTAAAAAGATGTTTGTCAATTGAGTTTCTGACAATATCTATGTAGTTTTTGGAGATCAGGTTTTCCACGATCTGTCGGAATTCCTCTGGGTACCAATTGCATCCCGTTATTAGCCAAACCTATTTTTGTATTCATATAAAGCAGAATTTATTCAAAAACTTATACTTGAGAAGAAGAAGGCACTTTCTGTGGCCGTGTTTGCTCTGCTCCCGATTTGTATTGTTTCAATGGACTTCATGGACTTCTGAGCTTGATTACTGTTCGTTATCTCCGTATTTTATTATTAGAGTAAATAAAGCAGTAAGATTGATATCCGCTACCACCCAAATCCACCTAAGAATTGTACAAAACCTTTAAGACTGTAAGTTGGGGAGGAAATTGTCAATAAAGGGAATAGTAATGAATAACAATGAATATTTAAAATGCTGCTCTGAACAAAACTTCCATGCATGAACGTATTTGGTTTTTTATTACATAATGTACGCCAGTGTTAACTGTTACGCTGAAAATAATTTTGTTTTTCATCACAAGCCAATTCAAAATCATGAGTTCCATACAGGATCTAAAGCGCAAATCAGAGCAGGTACACTGTGTTGCACCAAATTTTTAGGTATGGATACAACATTATAAGATTAAAACCAGGCTAATCTTAACATTTCAGTTCTATCATCTCCCATCCCAAATATAAAGATAGGCTTGTACAGTACCCGCGACGTTATTTTTGACAATTCTATCGTTTCCTATCGTGCGTGTATCCTATCGTTTCCTATCGTATCGTGTGTGTATCTTATCAGGTTTTGCATTTATCGTATCGTATGTTACGTTTATCACGTTTTGCGTTTATCGTGTTTTGCGTTTATCAGGTTTTGCGTTTATCAGGTTTTCCGTTTATCTAGCTGCAGAACTGTAGCGCTATGGTTTTATATTTAGTCTTTGTTATGGTCAAAGACTCAAATATAAAACCATAAAGCTACAGTTCTGCAGCTACCGTTTATCGTGTGCATTCGGAAGGCATCTAATTTTACTGTCCTTTTCAGGAAGAAGACGGTGGGGTTCCTACGTACAGTCAAACCTCGTTATCTCGAACTCGATGAGACCAAGGAAAAAAATCGAGATATCCGAGGGTTCAAGATATCGAGGGTAAAATACTTAAGAAATACATGGAAAGGACTTCCGAATCGCTTCGACATATATCCATGACATTCGAGATATCCGTGTTCGAGAAACCGAAATTCAACTGTATATAAATTACGGATTATGAAAAACAAATAATGAAAATTGATATTGATAAGAAGTATTCAACGATAATTCAATGTGAAGATTTCAAACCCATCACCCTTATCAACTTGGCCCTTAATTTTCTTATTTTTCCTTTGCTGCATTTGCCTTTCATTGTTTCAAAGAGTAAAATAGCAACAAATTCCCAGTGCCTTTAATAAGCCTCAAAGATTGTAACTGCACATGTTAAGTCACAAAATAAATACGATTCTCCTGACAAGATATTTAGTCTCTGAGTCTTGTGGTCCTGTTGTAGGGAGGACGTCCATAGTAGAATTCTCGGAAGATACCCTTTTCCCTGTACATCTGGTCGTGAATCTTAACACCCTCTATTCTTCTGTCATCGCTATAGTACCATCCCTTGTAATCTGTGTTGTGTCTCATGTGTTCATCTACCATTTTGTACTTGCTCCTTAAAATGATAAAATATCAAAGATCATTAAAAGATCTTGTAATTAAAGGCATGCTTAACATTTAATTGTTTCTTTAATGTATTTATTCTTTAAGATTTAAGTACAAGACACTGTTGTAATCGTATGGCTGAAAGTAACTAGGCCAGTCCACAATGAAGCATGCCTTCCATACATCGTATCTTCCTTTCTCTGTTTTTGATTGCCTCATTTTAATGACCTTCTAAAATTGTATGTCTATACGTTTCAAATCATAATTTAGATATCAGTGCTAAATTGCTATCATTGGAATTCATAATTAATCATCATAATTCAAAATAATTCTACATAGAGTATGTTTATTTTCTTTTCACTTTTCTGCCAAAAGGATCAGGTATTGCAGTACCAAAATTAATATGTTGGAAAGTTTTTAAGGCAGGTATTCTAAAGGAAAATCTGGTTACTGAAATGTAAATGGTGGGCAAGCCGGTGGCTGCAAAAAGGGCAGACAACTCCTCCAACTATTTTTAAGATAACTTTTTTTATTTAGCAGATCAAATGTTAATAGATCAGGGATGTGCATATTACTTGGATTTTGATTTTTGATTATTCATGAGAAAAATACCAGCTGTTGAGCTTAATATTTTTTTCAAATATTGCATATAGTGTTTGTCGTATGTCCAGATATTTCCTCCTATACAGTTTTCAAGATAAGAAGCTTTTATTTTGCAGATCGATTGTTCATACATAAGAAATGTGCATGGTACATGTACTTGGATTTTCATTTTTGATCATTTATGAGGAAAATACTGTTTGTTGAACTTAGTCATTTCTATAGCTATTAGGGTACATTGATTTTGTTGGGATGTCACCTCCTATAATTTTCAGAATAGAAAGTTTTCATAATAGATGACATTCACATTTACAAGAGATATTTCCCTTGAACTACGGTCAATCAAGAGTCAACCAGCATTAGATGTTGTTTTCCTTCCTTAACATTACCAACTTCATGGGGTAGTATCTGATGAATAAAATCTATAAAATATGTGTATGTTTATTAGTTTTCTTTGTTGCCCTATACCTTGCCAATTAAGGTATAGTATGAAATTGTCAAAAAACGTTCAAATATTTAGAATTTTTACAGATAAGTTCCAATGAATGAGAAAAATGGGTATTTCGCCAACAAAGGGAAATAATTCTTGCAATTGCGAAATTCATTTATTCTACAAATACCAGTACTGTTCATACAAAGAAAACTTGGTTTACTGTCACACTGACAGCCATCCACTAGTTCTTTTTTTTTTTTTTTGGGGGGGGGGGGGGGGGGGACAACAAGATAATCAGTTTTTTATTACAAATACTTACTTTGCAATTCTCCTCCTATACTTTAGGTCAATTGTATGCAGATTCTTTTCATATGCCTGTTCATATGATGAATAAACCCATTTGTGCATAAATCTTTGTACTGGAGTCTAAAATAATGAACAACATTAATATTAAGTGTATATATCTTAAAAAAATAGAAGTAAATAAAGTCCAATGAAGATGTAAGGCAAATTGTGAAGATCAAATTGATATTATATGAAGAGGCAGCAAGGTTAACATTCATTCTTACTCAATTTAAATTTTTCATATGCAACTTCATGATGAAAAATTCAAGTCAAAAATTCCATCATTCTCCAACTTACCCTGTACTCTCAAGTTGTCAAGTCATGTTTCACTTGACTAACATATATATGTAAGTTCCCAATGAAAAATGACTTACCCATTAGAGTTCCCACAGCCTAATGATATCTACAACACTCACCAATTTATATTCCTGGTAGCATGTGACTTATTTATTAAAATTACAAGGGTAAGTGATTTCCCACTGGCATGTGACCTCCCTATAATACTATGCCTACCCAGTGGTTTTTCTGGTGCTGTGCAACTTACCTTGTGGTAATCCAATGGCATGTGACAAATGCATCAGTTATCTCCGAGGTAAAACTTACCCTGTAGTATTCCCAGTGGCGTGGTTCATATCCCTCTGGAATATCCTTTAATTCAGCTGGACCTTTGAAGAAAATTTTTCCATAACAAAAGAGAAAACTTTGAGCAAGAATATTGTAGATATAATATACACCAGCCACTTTTTACTCTTTCACATTTTTAATAAAAAATTAAAGTAAAAGCTTTCTACATTTGAACCTATATCTAAATTGTTTAGAGTGCTGATGATGTTTTACAAACAAAATGCCAAGAATGTAAGAACCATTAGATTTTTTTACCAATTCTAAAGTTTGCTTTATGATTTTTGAGTCAAAATGATGTTTGAAATACAATTATTAATATTTTGCTGTTCATTGTAGCACCTCTATTTCACTAGTGTAGACTTCCACATTTTAATCAAGTTATCACATATTACACATATTTACACTTGGCTCAAGCTTTAAACAACTTGATTTTATACTACCAATAAAAGTCAAACAGTCTAAAATGAGTTACAATGGCATTCAGTGTGTTAATCTTTGTGAAAGCTAAGGTTCTCTAGCATTCTGCATCCAATAAGATAAATAACTTCAAAATAAAGCTCACATTCTGACAGTCTTATAACACAGTACTAGTTGTAGACTCGAAGTCAGACTTACCTATATAAGTATTGACAAGTGATAAAGCAGCAACAGGGGTCAGGGCAATCCAGAAATACTTTATCTATAAAGAAAAGCAACATAAAAAGGAAAATAAATTTTAGGTCTGTGTACCTTCATCTTTTCACATCAATCTTACTCTCAAACAAGCAAATGCTCATATGGAGAATCACAAAATTTACAAAAATGTTCCCTTTCATGTTTTATTGGTTTTGATTTAGTCACTGGTATCTGCAATAACTTGTGAAGTTTTCAACAAAACTTTTTTCAAATTATGTACATGAATAAGTACTTTACAATAAGAGCAAAACAACTATGGATTTTGGGGCCATATCACTCTGTCTGTATGTATGTATATATGTATGTATGTATGTCTGAATGTATATCAACTAATATAGTTGTCACATTCCTTTAACAGCCCTTAGCAAGGCCCTCACTGACTGTGCAACAAACACTTCCCACCTGAAACCACTAAAATCCAAACATCGTATCTTCAATTTGCAGACACCCCCTAGTAAAGATTTAATGTCAACAAAATTACGCTACATTACTTTTTTTATGGTCTCTTCAATCTGCTGTTTGTAATGTATTTCATTTGTCAATATGAATATTTCTAACTAATCACACATCACAGGGGTTGAAATTCTCCTGGAAAACCCACTAGCCCAGGGGCTACTGATCAGAAAAAAATACTAGCCCAAACCTCAAACTAATTAGCCCAACAACTTTTTATGCAAAATGAAAACATAACAAATTAAAATTTCAAATGCTTTGGCGACAGAAACAAAGTAAATTAATTCTTTGTCAAAAGAAACCAGTCTACATAAAAAAGTGAAAGTAAACTGATGAGAATTTTTTCTCTTCTGCTAGTCCGACGGACTATCGTTACATTTAAATTAGCTAGCCCGAGTCTTTAAATGACTAGCCCCAGGCGTCGGGCTACTGTATATTTAAACCCCTGCATCATCTGTAACTTACCAGGTCATTTTTAACATAATATTCCTTGATCCTGGTTCCAAATCTTGGGACACCAATAAACCCATCTCCATAGTGTGCACTTCTCACCAATTCTAGAAATATTTTTCAAACATAAATTAGCATCTCTTCGAAAAAAAAAACATGACCTATTACATATGCTGTTTTCTGTAAGTTTTGACAGTATTGCGTCCAAATCCAAGGGTACTCAATGGTATCGTACATTAGATATTACAGAGGAAATTCTGGTGAAATAGAAAAGGGTTTTGTCCGAAAGTGCAGTTGTTTTATTAAACTGAAGCTATGAGTGGTTTATACTATAATTACTATCAATTGGAAGTTAGAATAAATGAATTTGTGGCATATAAATTATATATATTGTCAACTGTGCACCTTGGTTCTATTTTTAGGTCAATGATCGTATATATGATTTCATACATAATTTGTATCTGTCATAAAATACAGAAGGAGACCAGTTGTTCTATTGAAGTAAAGAAAGTTTTCTTTAAAAAAAAAAATAGCCAGAAAGAAGAATGATCAATACTTATTAGCTTCAAAGGAAAAAAATTAAATGATTCAGATTACAGCTAACATACAAATGTATAGTATAAATTGGTATATATGATAATTTTCAACTTTGAACTCATCTGAAAACAATTCATGAAAAAAATCACTCTTGAAGATGTGTTTTTTCTGCACAATTGCAATCAAAGTTCTTAAAGTTTTGGGGCTATATACAACAGTTATTTTGTGACCAAACAGTTACTTCTTGAATGAAATAACAAAGAAGATCAGTTTTGGTTATCATGATAATTGATCGGTAATTATTCAGCACAATGTGAAGTAATCATAATTATCCATGCCTCATCGCACACAAGGTAATGTACAGATACTTAAACAATGGAAATACATCTTTCACTGAAAAGTGTTCAAACACAACAATGTTTAAACTATCTCTGCTTTGGATTGCTTTTTAAATGTCCCCTAGTATAAGTATTAGTAGACAGGTACTTGCTAGGGGTGCAACGATACACTAACCTCATGATACGATACGTATCACGGTATTCAGTTCACGATACGATACGTATCACGATACAAGACAAGGTTAAAAAGTCTTTCAAGTTTGTCATCATATTTTTTTTTAAACTTGACAGGGTTATACAAAATGTTCGTATTTTTTAATAATAATTAAAATAACATTTTGTTAACTTGAATTGGATTGTTAGGTAAATCTTTTGAGTTGTGACAACATTCTAAACCAATGATGAACATTTACAGGGAACTACGGGGACCTTTCCTAATAATCTCCCATTCATTCTTTTATTCCTTTTATTAATGTTAAAAACCAAATGTCATATTTCTCGTGTTAATACGTTTTAGTCAACAAGACAGCGAATGTTCATCAAAATACACATGTGATGGAATATTGTGTACATGTATTACCAAAGAATACGTTTAGATCTAAAGGGTTTATCATTTGTCTTAACATCTTTAACTTATAATCACATTAAGTCCTTCTTCGTGTTAAATCTGAGGTCTGTAAGAAGCTGGAGATAAGTTTAACTGCCATAAATGCGTTATCGGCAACCTCACATTTTGCGCGGAAGCCATTTTGAAATAGTAAAGAAGGAAATAAAATGGACAAAATGGATAATTCTGGACCGATTGAACCGAACCGCGATATCAGTTTAGTGTATCATGAATTGAACCATGGAAAAATATACCGCGATATACCGTCAAATGGTTTATCGTTGCACCCTTAGTACTTGCGATTTTTTGTCTATTTTAAATAAATAGCAAAGTTGGGAAATGTTTCATTGAAATAGCTAAATAAAGCTACCTGAAGTAGGTAAATAAAGCTATGGTAGGTAAATCTAGCTACGTAGCTAAATATACTGATTGTACTGAACCTGTATACGTTACTGTTTGTACTGGACCTATCAGGTCCGGCACAATCTCTTGATTTAGCTATATACCTTTATTAAGCTATTCAGAATAGCTTGATTTAGCTATTTTATCACACCTTTTTCTTGAATGTGTTTTTTTCTCAGCATGCACAAAAAGTCGCACCTTGGTGCAGTGATAATATTCAACCTTGAACTCTTCTGAAAATAATGTATGTAAAAATCAGTCATCAAATTGCATCTCCTTAAGAGACTTTGTACTCAAAGTTCTTAAAGTTTTGGGGCTATATAAAGCAATTGATACAGTAAAATTACTTCTTCAATGAAATTATAAAGGAGGCCAATTATGGTCAACAAGATAATTGATTGGTAATAATTCAGTACAATGAGAAGCAATCATACTTATTCACGCCTCAACGCACACAGGGTAGTGTATAGTTACTCAAACAATGGAAATTCATCTTTTGCTTAAAAGTATTCAAATGCTGCAATGTTAGAACTATCTTTGATTTTGCTTGTTGTCTTGATAGCCAATAGTACATATATGAATAGTCAAATACATGCGACTCTTTGTCTATTTCTTACAAAAAACATTTTTCTGAAAAACTGTATATAAATAGCTTTATCAAGCTATTCTGAATAGCTTAATAGAGCTATATAGCTATTTCAAGCTATACAGCAAAATCAAGAGGTTGTGCTGGACCTGCCTATATGGCCTATCCAGTATATTTAACTTCCTACTTCTATTAATAAGGAAGTATGCAGTGCATTTAATATGTTTAAGGGCACATTCCGAATAAGTGATTGTCTATTTATTACATTTTTTAACAGAATATGTTGACACCATTAAACATCACATAAACACGAATTTCCTCTACAGTGTTTTACCTTGCAGGGCAGACTTCGATTTCAATATCTCACTGTTTGTTTGTGGCGTTCTTATCGCAAGACTAAAGAATTGTCGTGTCCCCTGTCCAGTGGACATCCTCAAGCAGCTGAAGAGGATCATTTTGATCCCTTAGCTCTTGGATTTTTAGTCCCTACTCATTCAATAATTTGATAGCTACAAGGTTGCAGCAGGTTCGCAGTAAATGATTTGAAAATATAAAACCGACTGACGGACAGATTTTCCGGATGTTAAAGTCTTAAAATATTTTTATTTCCATAATATTTCATCTCATCTGATAATGAAAGCTTGTAGAATTTGAGAAAAATATTTTATGCATATTATGCAATGGAATATTCTAAAATTACTGTTTTAAATGTTCGATCATAAAACATCGGGTTCACATGAGGTAAGCGATAAATCGATTCCGCAATAACCGCTTATCGGAAAGGCCCGAGAAGTTACGAAATTGACCGAAGATTGCCGATTTGAAAATCAGCTGAGTGATTCCCGAGGTCTTCCGACTGTGCATTCAGAAAGCCTCGGGAACTTAGTTTCTGAAGGTTCTCTAAAATATTCAATAAATTCAATAAAATGGATCTACTTGGTTCCATTCTTGGCAGCATGCAAAAGCCGCCTACGATGGGCGATGCAGAAAGGAAAAAGGCAAGAGGTACAAATTTATTATTAACTTTTTATAATCCAAAATAATTAGTTCGAATTTGTTCATTGCATCCGAATTTGTTCGAATATCAGACTTTTGGCAATTTATAGCAGACGCCAATTATTTTCTGGGTTAATCTGTCTCAAAAATTGTACCAAAGTGTCAAATATTTCGTCATTCGGTCTTGACCCGATCTTTAAAACAATGTGGACGAAAATGTAATAAGGTTGAGTAAACTTGAATGGTCTGGTTACCATTTGCACTGTGGGGGTTAGTCAATTTCGTTACCTTTGGCCAGACACATATAGCTCAGTTGATAGAGGACCTGTTTAGTGATTCAGGGGGTCCAGGTTTGAATCCGTCTGGTTCCTCACATTTTTCTTGGTCTTCAGTCTCCTTTCTAGTCACTTTTTCTGTCACACCATACCCTGGAAGTGACATGAGAAAGATCTCCAGGGAAGAGCGTGGGTTGGTGTCCTTGTGGGTGAAGAGCTTTATAAAAAGGAGGAATATGACGACCAGGCAGCTTTGATTGCCAGTAGCCAGATAACTCAGTTGGTAGAGCACCAGTATAATGTTTTCAGGGGGCCAGGGTTCAAATCCTGGTCAGGTCTGTTGCATATGTTCCCCTGTATGGTTACAGTACCATCTCTGGAGGAGCTGACCAGCATACAGCTGTAAGCCCCAGCATCAGAGTGCTGGATAATCCTTCATCAGTAGTGACACATTAGATATGGATTTGTTTGTGTATCTGAAAAGTGAAAGTGTAGTAAATGTGATTTTTTTTGTAAAGACTTAGTACTTCATATTACATGTATGTGAAAACTGATAAGGCAGTTACATGTATTTTGCTGATGGTAAAAATGATCTTGTTTAAGGGTTCAGGAGACCAAGATTTAAATCACAATATAGTCTGTCACATTTACTCCAATCCTGCTAAATTTGGTGAAAAACTATTAGTGCCTTAGTGGTGAGGATAGGTTGGTACCACTGGGAATAGAGACAATTTTTGAGGGAGGAATTTGACAGTCAAGAAGTTTGTTCATCAGATTGACTAGCAGCTAGGTAGCTCATTTGGTAAAGCAATTTTCTTGAGTTCAGGGTGCTTGGGTCAATTTCTTTTCTGATCCATCTGAAATTCTTCCCTTCTGTTACAGACTAGCAGTATAGATATATATGCTTACTGTATAAAAATTTAATCTTCACAAAATAACAAACTCTAATCATTCGGTACAAATTCCATATTTGTGACATTTTGTAATTTATCAGAGCAAAAGGCTTTACTTGAGAAACAACAAGAAAAAGAGAAGAAAAGTTTGCAGGAATTCAGAGAAAAGGTATGTTGAACATTACCATTTAACAGCCATGTGATAGAACTCTATATCTAAGTAAACATTTAATATTTTTGAAACATCAGTTAAGTGCTACAATTTGCTGATCTGATGACTGATCTATAAAAGTCTTATGACAGGTCATTATAAGCACATACTGCATGGTATATGAATAATTCATTATGATGGTTTAAAGCTTGTTCTAACTTTCATATCAAAATACAACTTGTATATGTATTTCATATCCAGCCATTGCACGTATTAGCTCCTGGCCTGCTGTTCCCTCACTGACTGTTCTTGTAAAATTACAGATACAAAAAAGAATACATGATTTCATTAAAGATGGAACAAAACAGAAGAGCAAATTTGAACCAATGGACAAAGGATGGAGAGCCATAGTGTAAGTCAAGGTTAAATAGAGGGGCCTTAGGACAAAGGATGGATGATTGAAGTGTAAGTCAAGGTTAAACAGAGGGGGCCTTAGGACAAAAGGATGGAGAGCCATAGTGTAAGGCAAGGTTAAATAGAGGGGGGCTTAGGACAAAGGATGGAGAGCTTTAGTAAGTCAAGGTTAAATAGAGGGGGTCTCAAGACAAATGATGGAGAGCCATAGTGTAAGTCAAGGTTAAATAGAAGGGAGCTTAGGACAAAGGATGGGGAGTCATAGTGTAAATCAAGGTTAAATAGAGGGGGTCTCAAGACAAATGATGGAGAGCCATAGTGTAAGGCAAGGTTAAATAGAAGGGAGCTTAGGACAAAGGATGGGGAGTCATAGTGTAAATCAAGGTTAAATAGAGGGGGTCTCAAGACAAATGATGGAGAGCCATAGTGTAAGTCAAGGTTAAATAGAGGGGGCCTTAGAACAAAGGATGGAGAGTCATAGTGTTAGTCAAGGTTAAATAGAGGGGGCCCTAGGACAAAGGATGGAGAGCCATAATGTAAGTCAAGGTTTAATAGAGGGGGGCTTAGGACAAAGGAGAGTCATACCTTAGAACAAAGGATGGAGAGTCATAGTGTAAGTCAAGGTTAAATAGAGGAGCCTTAGGACAAATGATGGAAAGCCATAGTGTTAGTCAAGGTTAAAAAGAGGGGATCTCAGTACAAATTATGGAGAGTCATAGTGTAAATCAAGGTTAAAAAGAGGGTACCCTTAGGACAAATGATGGAGAGCCATAGTGTAAGTCAAGGTTAAAAAGAGGGTACCCTTAGGACAAATGATGGAGAGCCATAGTGTATAGGTGGGGGGAGGGGGGGGGGTTAGACAAAGGATGAAGAGCCGTTGTGTAAGTCAAGGTTAAATAGAGGGGATCTTACAACATAAGATGGAGAACCATAATGTAAGTAAAGGTTAAGTAGAAAATTATTTATTCACCTGTGGCTATAATATATTACACTGTATTCTTTTTTAGTCATGAAGTTGCCGATGTTGCAGGATTGACGTCTTTTTCCTTTGGTATAGAGGAACAGGACAGATATGTCATGGTTTGGAAGAAGGTAACACATGCTACACAACTGGTAGATAAATTAAGCAAGCTTCAGGTCAAAATAGCACTGACAGGCAAATGTAATTCTGACAGACACATGTAATTCAGACCTTTGTGTATAGTAGAACCTCTGTGTTTTGTAGAACCTTTGTGTTTTGTAGAACCTCTATGTTTGTGTATAGTAGAACCTCTGTGTTTTGTAGAACCTCTGTGTTTGTGTATAGTAGAACCTCTGTGTTTTGTAGAACCTCTGTATATAGTAGTCTAGTAGAACCTCTGTGTTTTGTAGAACCTCTGTGTTTGTGTATAGTAGAACCTCTGTGTTTTGTAGAACCTCTGTGTTTGTGTATAGTAGAACCTCTGTGTTTGTGTATAGTAGAACCTCTGTGTTTTGTAGAGCCTCTGTGTTTGTGTATAGTAGAACCTCTGTGTTTGTGTATAGTAGAACCTCTGTGTTTTGTAGAACCTCTGTGTTTGTGTATAGTAGAACCTCTGTGTATACTGTATAGTAGAACCTCTGTGTTTGTGTATAGTAGAACCTCTGTGTTTGTGTATAGTAGAACCTCTGTGTTTTGTAGGAGTTTGCTCCAACTGATGATGAGGTAAATGCTCTGAGGGCTGGTAAAGAATGGGATCCAGAAAAAGCCAAAGAACTGGAAAAACAAAGGGTGAGCACATGTGAGATTTTAATTCATAAAATTAAAAAAAAACCCAGAATATATGCGTCCTTTGATCAAGAAATTTTGTTGCATATAAAGCATAATTCATGTTACTTCTATTGATTTCAGTGTGAAACTAAAAGGGCCATGTTTCCGTAGAATATTATTTTTTAAAAAATGTTTAAGTTAATCATATTAATATTGTATAGTCCTTCAAATGGATACTTTGGTTTGTTGGTTTCAATTGTCCAACTTATTTTTGAGTCATATATACATTAGATTCCTTTAACAATGTCATTTAGTATACTATGTATTGAAATTTTTTAAAAGTGCACATTACATATGGGGCCACATCAAGGGGTTGCTTTATTTATTTAGTGTCCATTTCAATAACATCTACCGTATAACGGGTATTTTCTGCGGTTGCCCAATTTCTGCTGCATTTTGCGGAGAGGACAAGTCCGCAAAAAATACAATCGCAAATTATTTCTTCAATATTGATTCAGATGCAAGTCTGTTAAGTGGTATGTATTTCAGTCAACCTGGTTTAATGTTATTTCATAATTTCTAACTTTAAATTCTTTTTTAAAAAGGAATTTTGCTTACGGATGTATGAAGTAAAAAAGGATAGTAGAGCTTAGTTTCAGTTCTCACGCACCTTTGATCAACATGTCCTTTAAATGAATTTATAAAATGTGTGACAGTGTTCTGCCAAATCCTTAGAATTTGGTGTTTATATCCTGTATATAAAATTTATAGGCAGAAATTGAAAACGCAGAAATTAATTTGCTAACTTTCAGGGGTACAATCACAAAAATTTCCAACCGCAGAAAATACCCGTTATACGGTATACCCATGCATACAGAATTTAAAACCTGTGATATACCACTGTACCATACTCCACCTTTTAGGAACTAGAAAGACTAAGTGCTGAGGAAAACTCATCATCTCAGAAGAAAATAATTCCTAATTCTAACTACAAAGACAAGTACCGACATCTGATTGGTGACGAAGCAGCAAAGAAGGCCGCAAAACAGACAACGGCCAACAGGTCATACGGATTCGGTAAGGACAGGCAGAGCATGTATTGTATATATGCAGTAAACCTAAATACATGTTCTGGAACTTAATGTATAAAATTGACTTGACAGGGTTGACAAAATACTTGCATATACATATATGTAAAAGTTAATATCATATTTAGTAAAGTGTTACATTATTATTGGAAAATGCTTAGTAAAAATGAAGAAAAGAGAAAATACATGAACATAAATTTATATCAAGTAGTCAATAGCAGTTGGAGATGCATGGTGCAGTCAGCTATGAGCATTGAATTCTTATTTTTGGATGTAATTAGTCCTGTAATTGGCTGTGCTAGCAAATTGAATATCACACGTTAGTTGGGTAAAGTAATTTGTCAGCATGGACAGGTGCTGTTGTAGGACCGACGACATCCAAAAATAAGAGTTCAGTGCTTATATTTGTGTTCTCTTATTTTCTCTTCATAATTATTAATTTTGTTAATCTTTATTAGAAATTTAGTGCCTTTCAGAACTGGTGTGCTTAATAGATGTAAGGGCCATTGTGACGTGGAAAGTTAAATGACGCATATAAATATTACATACAATTCTTATATTTTTACAATAATTTAATGAGGCAATTGTTTTTAATTAAGGACATATTCAACATAGTTTGAACTTTATTGTCTTTTTCCCTAGAGTTGAAGAGTTCCAATACTTAAAGGAAATGTGTGCTACATTTTAATGTCTGTTAATGCCGTTGTACACTTCTTCTAAAACAATTTTGGATACACAAAACATCTAGAATATATATTTAGTATTTTTTGTATATTTTTCTTTGAATTTTACAAGAATTTTCATCAATTGATATCTTTTCAAAACCCCTGGTAATGCATGCTGATTTTTTGTCTACAAACATCTGATGGCACTAAAATCTTAAATTAAGAATATCTTGAAAAATTATCAGTATGTAAGGTACATTGCATATGTCCTTAAATGGAGCCAAAACAATATACATTTGGTGTTCCTAGGATACTGAGAATGCTTATAGTTCCTACTGTATAGGGGCATATTCTACCACGCAGTGACAAGGTTTCATCTGTGTGTTTTATAGGATATTGAAAGTTGTTGTAGATTTCCAATAGATTTCATAAAGAAAATTACATTGAATGTAAATATTTGTTATTTACAGTGCCAAGTGAGAATAAACGAGACCATAGGACAATAGAGGAAGTGTTAGCAGAAACCAGGGCTAAGAAAAAACTTAAAACAGAAGCCCTGAAAAGTCCTGTCGGTGGTCCTGTTGTGGAGGAGTGTAGCTCCCTCACTGCAAACTCTGGGGGGCAAACTTCAGAATCAACAGAAACTAAGTCCACCAGTGTATGACCCATAATATATATACAAGACCAATGATTTTCCATGTGTGATGACGTTTATATTTTTTTAAAATTTGTTTTCCAGACTCTGTTTTAATTTTTTCATACTTATACACTTTTCTAAATACTTTAAAGTTAAGTTTTGATTCCATTTATGATGAATGCATTCAGGAATATATTCATGTGTAGCACTACTCATTAAAGATAAGATTCATTGCATGCATTAAAGTTATGCATCCATCTGTAAACCAGTGTTTAGAATGCAACACATACTGCAGTGACAGTTTTTATCAGATTTCAATAAAACTTTGTACAATTGTACACTCTTTGAAAGAAAATTGTTTCAATTACATTTATGTATCTGTTTTGAACTGTATTTAATTTGAATAACTGGCCATAATGGATAAAAGTAAAATAATCTGTATTTTGTTTTAAAATTTTACTCCTACGACATCTTTTGTTTGATTGAAGCTTACTCTTCTTACCCAATCAAAAGGAAAGAAATCATTAGTCCAAGTATTACTCCCTCTTGACGTTTTTCATAAGTCTGTATGAGCTACGGTGGTGTCACAGACTTCTGTTTTCAAAACACTTTGTGAATTTTTTTTCTAAAAGGAATTCCATAGCTGACTCTTGTTCATGGACATGTAATTACTGGAGAATGCCATACTGGTACTGTAAAAACAGACTGGGAGAATCATTAGCTGCAATTTTGTAAAAATCTGGGAAGGACAAACATCCCGATTTAGTCACAAAAGATTATTTTACTGTCGTTGATGCTCATAATACATGTACACAAGTTACACATTTGATTTTAGAATGTTCAAAATTTGCAGACTAAGTAAAAAACAATAACATAATCAAAAGAAGAGTATAAACTGTCTTCCACATGGTGCCGTAGTAACTTTTATGTCCAGAGTTGCATCCCTTTGCACTACAATGACACTGAGTGACCTCCCCTTTAAATGGAACGAAATCTGTGACACAGTGTTTTATTTTTCCACTTCCTTCCATTAGACCAGCTACTGCAGTTTCCGAACAGGATCTCTCTACTAAAATAATTAGAAAAATTAATAAAACAGTGATGTTTTATTCTTTTTCTTCTTCTTTTTTTTCTGAAAACGGGGGTTGGGGGGTGGGTGGGTACAAAGAGTGAGCACATATATAGTATATATTATATATATTCTGACTTTTAATTAAAAAAATGTACTTACACGTCTGGATGAATTTACTGGATCGCTTCACTTTAAGACAAGCAAATGGACATTCTACAAGAAAGTTTGATCCGCCCCAGAAAGGATCGCCACACCGAGGATCGTGTTTAGTGCTGCAGTTGTAGCAGGGTATTCCTAATGCTGTTAGTAAGCAATTTGATAAATTAAAATACAATTTAGTATGGTTTCACCCTAAGCTCTCTATGCTTCCCTTTATGAGTGATTCTTATTAAACTGCCGTCTACCTGTCCCCTAGCAATAAGTGCCCGACTGTACTCCACCCGAATGTGAGAACATGTCCATTAATTTTACTTTCCCCATCCATTTCAATTCCCATTTTTTCAAAAGAATTTTCCCCCAGGTTTTTCAATATCACTTTCCCTTTTCCCCTGACCCATGTCATTTTCTTCCACTTCGCCAAAATTTCCTTTTATAATCTATAACTCCGCCTCCGGGGGCTCCCTATTTTTCTCTTCGAATATTTACACGATAACTGCATGGCACTGTCAAATTTCTTGAAAAGGGGGGATTAAAAACTAAACGTGAAAACCTAATTTGTAAGGGGGGGGGGGGTGGCAGCTACAAATCGCTTCCCTTCCTACTCCTACATATGATCTTATCATATCCAGGGGCCTACAAGGAATTCTTCCCCCTCCCTCGGACGGAGGCGTCCAAGGTTTTTTTTTTTGTGGATAATTTAGCCTACTAAATAAATTTTATAATTCTGACCCTCTCCACAATATTAATTTTCTTACCCTACACTATAAAATGTAGGATCGAGTTGATCAATAAGAAAGAAGACAAATTCATCTTGACAAGCCTCTGTGATTTACCTCCACCCGTAAATTCTATACATGATTCATAGTCCTACAACATAGCGTGTACAAACTACAAAATGTTCTGGTAAACAATTTTTATGCCCTGTAAGAGCACGTATGAAGATTTCAAGGATGGGTATATTTAAAAAAAAAAGGCCGATTTAGCCGTCATCATTGAGGGAGCATAACCGTAGATTCATTCCCCACAGGTGCTCCGGTCTGTTTAAAATGCTCAAGACAGTCAAGTTCATTGAAGGTTAGGCCTAATATAGCTTCTTTTAAAAAACATTTTGATAAATACTGAGGACCGATATCATCGTATCTATATCCTACTTCTTATTAAAAAACCATAATTTACAATCAAACCTTGGTTGATGCAAGCAAATAAACAACAAACTGCAATCAATGATAAATCCATGGTGATGTCGACTTTATGTCGTCATAAGAAGTTTTAAAGGGGAGTAACATGTAGAGAAAGGGAGACAAATTTGGCAAAGAAATAATAAGATAACCCGATGTCCAGAGTAACTGCAACATACATCTGTTTGTTTATGAATCCGATTTCAAAATGGACGAGAGACTTGAATTTACAACCAGAGCTTACGATACGATGATCTTTATTTAAGTATATAACTTTACAAATAGTCCTCTTTGTATAATTTTTGTAAATCATAAACTGAGGCCTTAAAACACTCTTTGTTAACTATTCAACAATTTGTGGATTTTTGGTCATGGTTGGAGAAAGATATTTAAAAATCATTTAAAATTATCTTTGGATTTCATTGAGAAGAAATCGTTCTATAAGTTTGATAATTTTGTTGCTAATAAATGTCTTTACTAACAATCTGGATAAAAAATGATTTATTACGGTTTATTATGTTATATACAGCATGTTTTACTTTTGAAGAAAACTGCAAGAAAAGAAACGGAAAAATAGGGGGGGGGGGGCATCAAAAGATGAAAGAAAACTTCTATTTTATTTATTTATTTATTTTGTAATATTCTTATTTATAAAATATAGAGTTTTTCTTATTTCCTTATGAATATAAAATGGTTTTTATGTCAGCATAATCTTTATATTACAGGTACAAGAATACATGTAAGAATACAAACATGATTTGAAAGGATTTGTGAACAAGAGTTTTAAAAATGATAAAAATAACCAAAAATAAATTATGTACGTGAAATGGGGTTCGTTTAAAGGAAAATAATGACAAACACCATACTGTCGTTGTGGATAAATATATTCAATCTCAGAATAATCAGTATTATCAGTAGTATCAGTTTTATCACAGCTCTGAAATATATATAAACAATCATAAATATTTTAAAACAAAGCATACATGTAGATCACTTGCCACATAGCACGGTCAAATGAAGAGTTATTTCCCTTTAATTGTGCTCATAGATAAAACATTAAGAGTTATCTTTCTTAATCAATAATATGTACAAAGTATAAACACTCTGGAATATATAGATAAGACAATGAGATCAAATGATACTGAACTCTTCCAGAATAATATAATTATATAGACAATATTCAAAATATATACATCATACCTATATGTGATATAGAGCCATAACTCCAAATATATATAAAGCTGAACACAGCTGTACTCTATTCAGTGATCTGTGTATGAATAATATAAATATAACTTTACTATATTACACACTTATTGTCACAGATATAAAATATACTTATTACTCTGAATATTTACAAAGTCATAAAATAATCACACAAACTGAACTTTCATACTTTATATTAGAATATTATTATTTGGGAATTTACCAGATAAACAATTATATAGAAATAATGAAATTAGTAAAAGTAAACTTACATTCTGTCCTGTCTTGGTCATTGTCATAAATAAATCATAAAATATCAAAAGGCCAATATGTCTACTCAGACCAAGATTAATTAACTAAGTAAAAACCAAAAGAGAGGGAAACTAACCAACCAATGAAATCCAAGTTGGCCTGGACACTACACAAGATATATATATAGAAAGGGACAGGGGTTTAAATGACCACTGTGATGTCATACATCTATAAATAACTAAATAAACACAGATTGATGTAAATAATTCCATGTGGATTTATTCAATAAATGAAATGCTGTAAAGAAATAAATATGACAATTTAACTGAATTAATGTAATCCTGAAATATAATAATTGATATATGAAATAAATAACCCTATCACATACGTATAAAACAATTGGTTATTTAGAAGTTAGTGGGCTTTTTTAGATTTAAATCTTAATGTCACGTGGACTCTTCCACGGTTCGGTGAACCGGCTTCTATTTCCCCTTAGGCGCCCCTTTCTTTAATGACAGGAGCTAATTTATTCCCCCGTGTCTCTTTCTCTTCACTCCTGAACAGCCAAGCCAGTCGGATTAACGTCACAGGTATGTCATCTTTTACTTTCCTCGTTTCCCTTCGTTTATAGATTAATTAATCAATTAATTAGTGCAACTGATATTATCGGAAACAAAATCTTCCATTGGCAAAATAGCCGAAAAAAAACAACAATTCATATAAGAGAATCCAATATCAAGATATTGACGTCCTTCCGCGGCAGTTTCAAGGGCAGCAGGTTCTACTTTCATTCAGTATGGTTATTTCTCCAAATAGGAGTTTATTTGTTATATTTAGTAAGTGCACTTAAAATGAATAGAATTTGTCTTCATCTCAGACAGAGGGTGTTGATATTGGTGATGTAATGTTATGTAATATAAAACCTGAGATAATCTTCGGCATTCATACTCTATCATACAAAATTATCTAACAATATATATTGTTCTCTAAACTAACGTTTAGTCCCTTCAACTTTAACCCCCCTAAAACATCCGGATCTTAACCATAAATTCAGTTGTGAATAAAAAATGTATATATAGAGATAGAAAATTAATGTTAAAACATGGTGTACAAATATGATATAGAATCTATGGCCTGAAGGTGTAAGCACTACAACTCAATTGTCCTCAGTTGTCTGGCTACAGGTGGACAGAGGTCAAGTTGTTTGTAATCTTGCTGTTCCTGTCAAGATTGTCCAATATCTACATTTATAATTCTTGATTTATTTTGACACGTTTATTATGCATGTATGTGATACGTATAATAGAGCAAATATTTGAAGGGCTTTTTTTCCCTTTTTTTCTTTTGTTGTTGTTGTTGTTTTTTTTTTGCTGTTTTTTTTTTTTGGGTAACGTTATTTTTAACATCTTACAAAGTTCCTTAAGTTTCTCCTGTCCATGTCGATCAACTTGTTAATTAATCTTATTTATTCTATTTTAAAAAATGATTTATTTAAAAACCACTTATAAAAGACAGACTTGAACCAGGTTAACACTTATTAATTGGTTATTAATAACAGTTGCAGAGTAAATCGTTTTCCTAAAGGCCATTTCCTACCTTGATAAATTTGTTAAAACAAAAGAAAGGAATACTGCAAGGTGCCCTTGGTGCATAAATTCACTGAGTGAAACAAGTGCTTTAGACCGTCATAAATTTTGTCAGTCGACACGTATATATAACACTTGTCAGACCGACCAGAATTTTACATAGCTCATGTTTTATGGATGTTACGATTTTGTTAAAAGCTTAATCGACCTAATTTTAAAAAGGTTATTGAAAACAAGGGGGACAGACCCCCCCCCCCCCTCCCAAAAAAAGACACAAGCAAAAAAAAATATATATTTATAAAATAAAATAAAATAAAAACGAACAAAAAAAAACTGAATTTATTTTATTCTAGCACGTGAAATGCTATGCCTTCTTTCTTTCAGAAATCATGGAAGTCAACTCTCTATTTATTGCCTTGATATTCCCTGTCATTGCTGTTGCCCAGGTTACCAACACAGGTAGAAATATTAAGCTTTAAAAATATAATGATTTGATCCGGCCATAATGGTATAATAATAAAATTACATGTGTATGAAAAAAATGTTCTCCGTCAAACTTTCTTTCTTTTTTGTTCCCTTGTCCAGTCTATCTAGACAACTCAGCGGGAAATGAGTGTGGTAAATCCACCAAGCTCACGAGTGGATCCCAGATCCGCCTGAGCACCAACGGAAAGACAGAGGACGGGTACTGTGGCTTCCTCATCCATCGTATCTCCGACCCCAACACCAAGTGCCCTTTTCCAGGAATGTGCGCACGCATCGACAACTCTAAAATGACGTCTTGTCAATCCAAGGTTGCTTTTACAGGAAAATATTTCGATAAAACACCAGACAGCACACAGGTATAGCAACTTTTAATGAAGTTTATTTTATTGAAATAATTCAAATTGCAAGCGTTGCACATGTAAGATGCACGTTAAAAAAAATTAGAAAGAAATAAAATTAGAAGGTAGTAATAAATACATTTTGTATACACTCTTCACTTAAACCTAGTCATTTTGCATAAAATGTCTTTTAGTTTGAAAGGATTTCATTTCTGTCATTGCAGGAACTTAGCTGTTACATAAAACCAAAAGGTGCCCAGTTCTGTACACAGGCGCCAGCCATGCGCATTGAGGTGACAGAAACGCCAGACTATGCAATGAAAGAAGCTCATGATTACGGATTCAACATCACTGTGTACTCCCAGTGTTTTGACAACAGAGAAGCTGTTATTGTGGAATATGTTGAAGATGGTAAAATTTTTCTACACACATTTAGCATGCATATCGATTCAGAGGCTCTAAACAAAGTCAAGTTACTAAGCACAGAATGCAGGCCCGTAGGAATCCGGGGAGGTGGGGGCGGACACTTTAATAATTTTGCAAATATAAAACAAACAAAATTTGCTTTTACTGTTATGTGTCCAGTCCTCAATAATAATTTATTTCCAACATTGAACACACTTACGTACAAAACTAATTCATTAATACACTATACTATTACACCATATATGTATTATAGAGTTCAAAACTAATTTATATCTTCTGTATTTGTTTAGAGCCTCTCCTCGTCTATATATTTTTATATACTTACACATATGTATTCTTTTCACTTGTTTATTCTTATATACCCTTCTATAAAAAAAAACACAATCCGATTTATTTAAAATCATAACTGGTGACTATATGCAATATTATAGTACTAATATACTTATTTTAATAATTTACAAAACTAATTTTAAGTACACGTACTTTTTGGTTTCTGTTGTTCTTTTAACTTCGACATATTTGCATGTTACATAATATTTGTTACCTGCACATATTTGTTCGAAGATTATTTTGATAATGTTATGGTCGATTACTTTGGTAAGTATTCTGCTAATGAGTCATTTTTCGTGTTGCCTTTTTTTTAAACTACAGATTGAACTTTTAGAACACAATAGCAATCTGTCCAGTTTTATTAAAAGGCAGAGTTCTAGTTGCTTGATTTTAATCATTCAATTTTAATTCATATTGCTGAAAGTTAAAACGTCTTTAAGAAAATCTGAAACAAGTTTTAAACATTTCTCACACCGTTTGTTAAAATGTATTCGTACCAAAAAAAAGTCGTTCTGTTTATTTTACTCTTGAGGTTCATCGATCTGTTCGATTTGATTTGAACATATTTTATTATGTACTGAAACATAAATGGATTGGACAGCAGGCATAGCCTATATAAGCCCTCCATCCGTCTGTTCACTCATATATGAAATCTTGCATTTCAAAAAACTTGAATTTTCAGAAATTTTCTTTTAACCTGATAATTGTGTAAGGGAATGGTAGTCGTTTATGCCGCTGAGAGTTATCTCTCTTGTCAGAGGGTCAATGAACCTTAAGTCATGTGAAGAGTATTTTTGAACTATTCTTTATTTCGTGTGGGAGAAGGGGGTGGGGTCCACATCATCTTCATGCAGTTGTTATTTTCCTGCTTTACCAGACCATGACGGATCAAGGGTCACATCGAGCTTCATTATGAGATGAAGAACTCCATCTAATCTGATATTTTCTTTTTCTTTCATCAGATTATAGGGCTCCCAACTTGGAGGAGGGTTGGCATATGAATTACGTGTTGGGTGTCGTCACAGCTGCGTGCCTCTGTAGTATATTCCTTATCATATTGTGTACAGTCAGAATGTACACCCGCAATAATCCAAACTACAGAAACTTAAGTAGCGAAGCCAAAAAATAAAGCGACACCACAGTGACCATAGCAAAAAATATCCCAATTTCTCATTTAAATTACCCTTTTTCTTTTTTTTTTTTATAGTATTAGTAGTGTTCTGTGTACTTGTAATCGGGTCTCACTAATGAACAGTCTTTGCAATCTATCTATTGCACTATCATAACACGCCACCACTAACATATATTATAGTAGTTTGCAAACTTTGATATGTAATTTCTTTATTGATCAGTGATATGAAAATTGCTTTGAATATATGAGATGTTAATTTTCTACATTCAGTTTGTAAAATTAATTCATTTGTTATAATAACATCGTAATGTTTAAATTATAATCCTTGATACTGACACGAAGAAGTCTAAGTTCTGTGTTGTTAGAACTGCATGCACAAGAAAATGACAAAAGAAACAGGAAAGAAAATGGCATGAATGCAAGATATAAACGCTCACTTTTCATTTGCTTTTTTGATAACAGACTGATAGAAAATGGCTGAGATTGCTTACAATTTCTAGGAAATCTTTGATGAAAGCTAGGAAGTCTTTAACAAATGCTTTTAAAATTCAGATGATCTTGAACATTGTTGCATGATGAAGACGGAAATTTTTGTCTTTGGAGATTTCAAGATCAGCTGTTTAGTAGATAGAGTTATAAGAATGGAATAATTGTTCGCACGTAAAATGCTAGCTTTTTTAAAATTCTGGGTCCCTATGACCATGCATGTTTTCGCTAACTGACAGAATGGCTTGCTTTTTTACAGACTACAAAGCTCCGGATCTAGAAGCAGCATGGAGGAAGAACTACATCCTAGGAATTGTCGTGGCTTGTTGTTTATGTAGCATTTTCCTGATCCTTTTGATTATTTTGAAATTTTACTATAGAAACAAGCCTTACGCTGGAATCAAGGAAGACAGATAAATGCTCTCTTTCCGCAGTTTGGTGCTTTGACCTCTGCCTCAACTTAAAACAATATTTTGGGGACCAAAAGATCCGAAGTCTAATAGTAACCTAAATTGAAAATTCAGAATTGTTAAAGTCTGTTGATACACCTCTAGGAGAGGTCTTCAAGCACCAAGCTGTAAAATAACGTACCAAAGAACATCCCTCCTTAGCATGTAATGTACACTGAACACATGTGTCCAGGATAGGCATCTGTGTGTCCTGGATAGGCATTTGTGAAAAAAAGCAAAAGTTCCTCCTTCATTAAACTTTTTTTAATTAAGAAAGCACCATAATTAATTTGAACTAAATATTCAGTGTACAATAACATGGCATGGACATTTCCATTTAAAATTGAAAGTGTCCTCCATTAATATCTTTAACAACCTTGTAGGAATCAATAGTCTATGATTTAAACACTAGCTGTACTTGTTCAAAATTGAGATACATTTCAAATGTTGTAATTCAAAATAATTGTACATTTCTTAAACTTTAAGACTGTGAGAGCGTACAAAAAGATGAATCGTGCTCACGTATGTGATGACATAAATCTGTGTTGTTTTTATGTATATAGAATAGAAATAATTATGTTGCAAACATGCTTGTGAGAAACATGCCGATAAGTGTACATGAAGTAGTAATCAGGGATTCTTGGAATCAACTCTGTAGTTAGATTCAGCATTGTCCATAATGTGAATATGAAGCTCTTCCATCAACATTCTATCAACGAATCTCAATGTTCTAGTCCGACAGAAAATAGATTTGTTTTCACTTTTTATATTTGTAGTATGTGCAATTTTCATTGTTTTTGAATTGTTTTTCATCATGCAATAAACAAGATCTTTTTATTATCATCACACTTGTTTATATTGTTTTGGTTTTATGATATTTATAAATGATACCCAATATGACACTCATTTACTCTGTTGCCGTAATCAGTGGTACTTCTGAATTTTATATGGCGGTCAGTCGGGTTCGATCGCCGGTGGCAGAGAGCTCAGTTGGTAGAGCACTTGACTGGATATTCAGGTGGCCTGGGTTCAAATCCCGGTCTGGTCCGCTGCATTTTTCTTCTCTCTTGTTACATTTAGTGCCGTGCCATGTCCTGGAAGTGACGGCTGAAAGACCTGCATGCCAGGGAAGAGCCTGGGTTGGTGTCTTCGGGTGGCTACACTTTGTACACTGTTTATACTTTGTACGACGTCTTGAATTCCAAAAGTATAAAATATAAAGTATGAAATATCTAGCTGAGTATGTATAAGGAAGGTTGGTTCACAAAGTACTAGTACTATAGTTAAAACTGATAAATACAGGTAAAAATAGAAACCTGAATAATCGACCTGAATAGTCGAACGTAAACCTAAAGTCAATCTTTATGTCACCTTCTTTCACAATTAAAAGAGCAAAAACTCTGTTGATTACGTTATCAAATACAATGGAGATTTCGAGTAACCACTAAAAATTACCGAGGCGCTCAAAAGTCCTGAATACGAATAGGAATGAAGTGAGACAGAAATATTCCCTTAAATATTATGACCATGACAAAAATCTAAACAAACGGATTCCTTTTCGTAAAGGGAACTTTTCCACCTCGCCCACAGAGTCAATTTGGCTGTTGTCTGTCTGTCTTTTATATATACAGTATCCTTTGACAGTTAGAGAATTAGGGATTATTTTGACTGCAATACTGGTACATATTAAACATATGGCACCAAAATTAAAAGGATATAATCTGTAGTCAAAATTAGTGTGAAAACAATTGGCTAACAATTTGTATCAAACAAATTAGTAAAAATACGTCCCAGCGATAAGCTGCAAAAAAGGTCATTATACAGACCACAGACCGTGCGAAATGCTGATTTAAGAGAGATAGTTGAGGGCCTGTAAAATCAAATTATTGTCAGTAGCCTGACTTGGATTAAGTGATCGTCTCCAAAACACGCTCTTGTGTACCAAATAAAGCTGGGAGACACAAATATCATATATACAGATTATATTGGAATATAACTGCAAAACTGAATTCATAAGGTTTGTCATATAGTTTAGGTTTAAGTTTGCCATTAACGTCTATAATCAGTATAAAACATCCAAATTTATACGAAACCGATGCGACAGACTCTGTGGTGTACTTCACTCGACTATATCTAGTCGACACGTGAATGAAAATTACATCTTTATTGATAAAACGTCGTCGATAACCATACACTGTATATGTATATCTTAATGTCTAATCTAAGGCCACGCCAAGAGTTTTCTCCTCGTGACGAATTTTTTAAATAAATTTATTGTGCTTTGTAAGAATATAAAAACGTGTAAGCTAATGAAGGACCACAATTAGTGCCCAGCGAATTTCAAACAGATTTATTGAGATTGTTGGAAGACTTGGTCTCCAAAGACTACAAAAATATTTTCAATGAGGAATTTCTTAAATTTAGATTTAGCTATAATTATAGTACTTTTGTGTAGAATCAGAAAGATTTTTAACGAAATATCTCTGTAAACGCCCAAATTACAAGATACGATAACTAACAAATATCCGAGTTCCACTTTTATTGAAGAAGCAGTTGTCTATGACGTGAAAAAGTTTGGTCTTTAATTTATCATGAGGAAATGTTTTCATGGCCGGAGGACCCCCCCCCCGTGCCGTGCCCCCCCCCCCAATAATTTTGCCGATATATAGATTACTATAGAAAACATAGCTACTATATGCTTCTTCCCCCTCAATAAAAACGGTTAATGACGTTTGCTTGTTCGCTTGTCATGGAATTATTGGTAGTCGACAGTGCCCCCTCAACTGAAAATGTATGGCTGTGCCCCCCCCCCCCCCCCACCACCACCAAACTGAAATTGCTTCCTACGGGCCTGGTTTTATAAAGCGTAGAGTAATAAAATGTATTAATCCGTTAATGTTACTGATTTTGGTTAAAAAAAAAAAGTGACTTAAATTTTCTATGGATTTTTGAGAATTCACATTTATTTACATTACTTCTTGAATATGTTGTAACACTGTGCATCAGAAGTTTCTCCTTCACAGCAGTAAATATTTTAGTGAGGGATTTACTGGATCCTGCAAAGCATCTTTGCTTGAAAGGATTTTTTACGAAGCTTTGTAATCCAGTATAGGTAAATCAAATTCACTACCATTGACTGGAATGTTAAAAGTACATTTGTACTTGATTTTGGAGAATTTCATCTTTTAAAAGTAAATTTGAGGATAGGGAAAGTTCAGGGAAAAGCTGAAGACATCCCGCTTGTACAGAGAGATGGATTACAAAATGTGGCATTAAGGTGGTACACAATAGATAGGCAAAATTTTTTCACAAATTCAATTTGTTCAAACTTTATATGTAACATGATAGAAATTCAACGGTACATTTTTTTGCCCACATAGTTTGAAATATGGCCTATCAGACCCCTGTAAGAAGATTCCGAAATAAGACAGCCAACCTGAGATTGTGCTTTATTTAAAAATAACCAATTAATCTATTGCAAATTTGTGTGATGCTGTTTATAAAGGCAATCTTTTTGTACTAAAATTTAGTAAAATATTTTGATACCGGTATATCTGAGTAAAATGTGATGTAAAAATAGAACATACATAGCCCGGGAATTGAAAATTTACATGTAAATATGCCACACATTAAGTCCTCTTTAAAGAAAATGTATAATTCAATTTTTCCAAAAAAATCAACAGAATAATCAAAATGAAACCCAGATTAAAATATGTCAAAATGAGGAAATTTGAACCGGCGGTTTCAGATATTTTGGCGATTTTAAATAAATCAAATGAAAAAAAAAATTGTACAGATTTAGTAGATGACGTCACTATTTGACCTTTGACCTCTTACTATGACCTTTATTGTACAAAAAGAATGGAGACTCCTTTTAAATATGTCCAAATATCAGGACTCTACTATAAATGGATCAAAAGTTACTTTCCATTTAATAACAGACAGTCATATGGCGCGTAGATGGCATAAATGTAGCCTCCTCAATGATGAATATATAGGATTCTCTAATTTTTCTTCAAAATATGGTGAAAATATGTCACAGCTTATTATTTTTCTTACAAAGATCCTTGATTACTGACATTATAGTGAAATTATTCTTTTTTCTGGTGAAATTTAGAAGATACATGTATGCATTAAAACAGATTTCATTCATTACCTTAAAGGTGCTTAGACACAGATTTGAACTTAATATTTTCTCAAATTTTCTGTATAATATCACGACTTATATATTGCAATAGCATTTCACACGAAAATATAATTAAAAACTTATTTTATCTGGAAATTATTGGAACTACGAATTCCGGGACGCATTTGATTAACACATCTTTGCATTTACACAAATTTTAACTTTATCCTTAATATTTAACAAGAAAAGAAGCGATTTTGTTACGTATTAATGAAAAATATTACATCTATAATCCAGAAAATTTAGAGTAGAAATGTTCGACAGCAAAACCAACTCACCAGTATTGTCAGTCCGTGCTCTGTGATGTGTATAGAGTTTAACAAATTGAACACACAGGCCCATAGGAAGCAATTTCAGTTTGGGGGGGGGGGGGGGGCACAGCCATACAATTTCAGTTGAGCCGGGCGGCACTATCAACTAAAAATTCCTTGACAAAAAAAAGGTCATCACACGTTTTTATTGAGGGGGCACAAGCATATAGTAGCTATGTTTTCTATAGTAATCTATATATCGGCAAAATTATTGGGGGGGGGGGGCACGGCCCCCCGTGCCCCCCGGTTCCTACGGCCATGACACACCCGTGAAACTGTTTTTGTAAACAGGACACGAGCCCTGTTATCGTTAATGTTTACGATTCACCGGATGTGTTCAATTGTCAAACTCTGCATACACCACAGAGCACGGACTTACAATACTCTGAGTGGGTTTTCCTTTCGAACATTTCTACTCTGAATTTTCTCGGTTATAGTTTTAATATTTTTCATTAATACACAACAAAATTGTCACTTTTCTTAAGTATTAAGAATAAAATCAAAATACGTGAAAGCGCAAGGATGTGTCAATCCAACGCGTCCAGAAATTCGAAGTTTTAATAACTTCGAGATGAAATCAGATTTTTATTATATTTTAGTATGAAATGCTATAGCAACATATAAGTCATGAAATTATACAGACAATTTGAGAAATTATTAACTTCAAATCTTAGTCCAAGCACCTTTAAAGCCAAGTTCTTCTAAACCAGTTGTAATAACTGACGAGCCCAAACGAAGACTATATATGTATATTGTTACAGGCTTTGTCAGCTGGAATGTCCAAGTATTCTTCTTTTTCTTCCAGATTACTAAATCGGAAGGATAGATGGTTCGCATTTTGCCTTTATATCCTCTTATACAATTTTTAAAAATACATCTAAACTCTTTTTGCATTGTGACTAAGTGCTGAGATCTTAACTCTTCAAAGTCTGTTCAGCGACTGGCATACTACTCTTCTGCAGAATTCATAACAGAAATGAAGTGAAAGATCAGCACTCTCTGAATTCTGGAAAACCTAGGCTCATTGCTTATTAAAATCATGCCAACACTTGACACTTGATGTCTAGGAGTAAAGATGTTTTGAAAATTGCATCAAATTTTGATGGTTTTGGCCACACCACTAGAGAAGGCAGGGGCTATAAAATTTACAGTTTTGGTTCCGCATTATCTATAGATGCTAGACATGTTACAAAATTGGTTTCAACTGGTTCAGTCATTCCAGAGAAGAGGTTGAAAATGTTCAATCCTTTACAAAACATACAGTATTGACACCCCATGATACAGTAAAACAAAAAGTAATAGGTCACAGAAGGTGACTCAGATATCAAAAAATCAGATATGAATCCTCCTTATTTTGCACTTACATGTATCTCTTCTTAATTTAAATCCCCTTCATCTTTAAAAGTTTGGTTGAAATTGCTTTAGTGCTTCTAAGAGATGCAAAAAAAAAAAATCAATTCATTAAACAAACAATGAAACTTTAATGTGAAAGATTCAATGGAGCCTCTGGCTCAGGTCTGCAAAAAAACTGTGATAGTGTAAGATACACGACATTCTACTAGCTTGGGCTAGAGGGTTAACCCTTAAGGTAAAGTACTGGACTGGCATGGCAGAGGTTCAAATCCATGTGTATATGGATTACAAATCCATTTCGATGCACAAACATGTCTCTGTTACAAGATGTATTCACAGTAAAATTACTCTCAGGTTTACTATCATTTATTCCAAAGGTTTCCAATGTAATACTGGACAACAAATTTTACTTTGCAACATTCACTCAATCTTGAAGGTAAAAAATATTGGGAAAAAAGTCTAGTGATGGTAAAGCTGTCTCTTCATGGAATTCTATTTTGTGTGGTTTTTTTTTATTATTCTCTCTTTTCCTTTGGTTCATCCTTAAAATGTAGAAACACTAGACTGAATACACAGACTCCCACCATCATAGAGAAGGCGCTGGTATAGTAGGGGTAGGCTGAGTATATAAACCTCTCATACTGAGTGTGCTGCAATGGTCTCACCGATACCTGTAAAATAAATTGTCAACTATCAAGTTATATTTTCAAACCCTCTAAGAATTTGTAAAATTGGACACTGATCTGAAAAGTAGCTACTCCTCTTTTTTTTTTTTTTTAAATTACACATAAGTATAATATTTTAATGGAAGTAAATAAAATTTGTTAAAATGACACATATGTATCATATTTTAATTGAAGTAAATAAAATTCCTTAAATTGTAGCACTGCCCCTGACATCAAATTACATATGTGGCATTGCTTTGTTCCTGCTGTGGTGTGTCTTACCTGTGTTGTACTATACAGATGAGTGTAACCCACTCTGTTGTAATCCACCTGGAACTTTTGTCTTACCTGTGTTGTACTATACAGATGAGTATAACCCACTCTGTTGTAATCCCCCTGGAACTTCTGTCTTACCTGTGTTGTACTATACAGATGAGTATAACCCATTCTGTTGTAATCCACCTGGAACTTTTGTCTTACCTGTGTTGTACTATACAGATGAGTATAACCCACTCTGTTGTAATCCACCTGGAACTTTTTTCTCACCTGTGTTGTACTATATAGGTGAGTACATGTATAACCCACTCTATTGTAATCCATCTGGAACTTTTGTCCTACCTGTGTTGTACTATATAGGTGAGTATAACCCACTCTGTTGTAATCCACCTGGAACTTTTGTCTTACCTGTGTTGTACTATATAGGTGAGTATAACCCACTCTGTTATAATCCACCTGGAACTTTTGTCTTACCTGTGTTGTCCTATATAGGTGAGTATAACCCACTCTGTTATAATCCACCTGGAACTTTTGTCTTACCTGTGTTGTACTATATAGGTGAGTATAACCCACTCTGTTATAATCCACCTGGAACTTGTAAACACCATAAACATCAGGTAACTTGAACGTGACATGGAATTTGCCATCTGAAAAACAGAAAATCAAAAATAACAGTGGTGAACTGTTTTTGAACTGTCCAAAGGGTTTCCAGAAGTAAGGCAATATTCATTTCTTTCAGAAAGTTTAATACATAATTTTTTCTCTCCTATTACGTGCTATGATTATTATCTAGAGAAATTAACAAAACAAAACTTTTCTACATTGAAAAGCAAAGGAAAATTATCTTGAAAGAGCCATTCTCACTTGAGTTCTTGAGAGTTGTTCTGACAAATGGGTCAATGCGGACAAATTCCAGTTGGACATCTTTACCAGTGAATGGCTTCCACTGACCGTCCTTCAGTTCTTCTATTTCAATAGAGTATTCCTACAAATGCATCATTCATAAATCTTAATTTTAAGATGGAAATAAATAGAGTGTATGGCTCAATCAAATATACTGACATCAATACAGATATACCCTTTCGCCATTTTCACAGTATTTGTGCTAATTGTGTTGCACTTGGACCAAAAAATAAAAAGTTAAACAGCACATTATTGACATGTTTTCTAGAAAGTACAATACCTATGTAAATGAGTCCCAAATTTTTTTTATATAAGCATTCTTACGAAAAAAGTTATGCGAAGTCAAATTTTGGGCGAGACCTTGTGTTGTGGACACTACATTACACCTGTTATGTCTAAAATAAAATATTAAAGATAGTTATTTATTCCAAACTTCTTGCGGGTTTCGATTATGTACCTAATTGCAGTGAAATAAAAGAAAAATCTTATGGTTCTCTTTGAAAACAAAAATTTTATTCACATTAATGACTTGCTAATTTTTTTGCCTAATTTATCTCCCTTCCTTAAGTTTATCTACCTTTACAATCACACATAAGACCTATATAATTATCATGTGAAAATTAAATTGAATACTTCTAAATTTCAAATACATTTATCATACATGTAACACCCTGGATATCTTTGTTTGTATCTTGTCTAGCTTTGAAAATGCATAGCATTTTTGTTGCGGACACTACAAGTAACCAAAAGAATAATCTTTTGTCATTTTTATAAAAATAACTGTTGATAAATGTTCATTTCTAGGCTGAATTATGTACCAATGGATCAACTCTTGAAAATGTACCATATAAAAAGATGCAGAATGTGGTTTATTGAGATGAAAATAACCACATAACAAGGACCATTAATTATTTCTTGATGTATAATTCTTTTGCAGTTTTAAAAAATGTCTGTGATTTTACTTATTTTAATACAATTAAAGAAGTTATAACAAATAGTTTTATAGATAAATTCGATGAATTAAAGAATTTACTGAGGCATCCATAATTTTTTTCAGTATTGAAATTGTTGCGGACACTACAATATATTGAAATATTGCTAAATGACACCATATTTGGTTTGAATGGAGTAAACTGAAAATCTTAATCTCTAACTAGTTCTATATGTACAGTAAATGGTGTTATATTATAGGGAAATAAAAAAGGCTAGTCAAAAATGGCTATCCGGCCTGGAAAATGAAACCCATATATATACCAGTAAGTTTGAAGTGTTATCTTGTACAAAAATCACCATTTGTTATCTTAGTCCAGTTAACTAATTGTATTATCAAAGGAGCAAAATATCAGAAAAGTGTTTTACATTTCAAAAATATTTAATGAAATAAAAAGTGAAAATAATAAATGAATGTGGTATATAGTTATTACTGTAGTGTCCGCAACACAACTGTATTAATTAGAACTAGACTTATTAATTAACAATTAACATCTTGATATATTCTTTAGTTTCCACTTACTCAGTTTTAAATACCACATGAAAATTAACTTTCAATATATAACATAAGACTGACAATTGAAAGATTTTGAATATTATGTATAAAGAAGTTGTTATGGGTGTTATTCAAAGTATGAAGTTATAGTTCCACTAAGTTTGGTAACCTTACATATTTGTATTGAATATTTGGACAATTATAGTGATGATCAATTGAAATCATGTTACATTTCTTTGAAGAAACTGTGAATTTAAAAAGCTGTTGTGGACTCTACAGCGTTGCGGACTCTACAAAACACAATATATTTGCCAGAATTCCAAGCAACACTGAGCTAAAGTCTCATATTTTTTGGTAGATAGATTAGTAGCTGTACTGGCCTCTTACATGTAAAATAAAAGAAATATAATTCATAATGCATTCCAGAATAAGCACGTGTTGCGGACACTACAGAATTTTGGGACTTTTTATGCCAGTAAGAAGAAAATGTGTCATTTTCTAAAGTTTTGAAGAATCCACTCAAACTTTTCTTTATTGTTTCATTTATCATTTAACTCTAATTTTAAAATGAACCTAAAGTAAGAGTAATGCATTAACATATATTTTTTTAAACTGCAAGTTCATACAGTCGAATTTTATTAAATTTCATAACGTATCTGCATTTTCACATATTTAAACATTATTTCGCTAATATTTTGTTGATTTACATACAGTAAATTGCATATAAAAGAGGGATAATTTCACAATGATTTGACATCTATAACTAAGAGTTTCTATTGTAAATCTCTTGAAACAAAAACTGGAAAACAAAGCCATTTTTCGGCTGCAACAGCATAACGCAAAATATACCCCATATTTTAGGTAGTAAATCTTTAATATTTTTATTGTCTAGAACATGGGAGTGTTATATATCATTTAACTTGTTAGGGGTACCATTTTGTCATAATTTGGTCATAATTGTCAAGGATTTAATCATATATTTTGATGCAGAGTGCATTATAACATAAGTGAGTATGAAAAAACACAAATACTGTGAAAATGGCGTTTGTATGTTTTAGTCTTTTTATACATGTTATATGATATTTGTAGCTGAAACTAGTGATTATCATTTTCCTGAAAAATCAATCAATAAACATCAAGATATATGTTCATGTATACAATCATTATTTTAGCACTAAATGTAATTTAAATTTTTGTTGTTACCCTGTACTTACCACCATGTGGCAGACAGTGTAAGCCTGAGAAGGTCTGTACTTACCACCATGTGGTAGACAGTTTAAACTGAAGTTTGTACTTACCACCATATGATGGACAGTGTAAGCCTGAGGAGGTTTGCATTTACCACCATGTGGTAGACAGTGTAAGCTGAGGTCTGTACTTACCACCATGTCGTAGACAGTGTAAGCTGAGGTCTGTACTTACCACCATGTCGTAGACAGTGTAAGCCTGAGGAGGTTCTTTTTCTCCCTGTTTGTTGTGTTTAACTGCCCCAACACGTAGGACACCCTTCTCCTTGAACACCCATTGTGATAGACTGATAGCTAGGTCCTCATTACCTGATTTGGGGAATCTGTAAACAATTATAAAGTGTTAAGAAAAGATTTTATGTATGCAATGATTGTGACTCATCTGCACAATAACAGATGTTTTGTTTATATAAAGGGTAGCCTCTGACATTCTGAGATATAACCTCTAAAACAATCATGTTCCAAAGCTCACAAAACAAAGTTTTAAAGAATACAAAAAGAGCTAAAGAAATTGAATTTTTTTTTAAAAGAAAATGCAAATTTTGATGAATCTAATTAAAGGAGATATTTCCATAAGAATTCTTCTTACTTTTTGTTAGTCATTCCATTCTGGACATTTGCAGTAAAGAATTCATCGCTGAAGAAATCCAGGGAGCCAAGGAAGACAACTCTAGCATTATTTCTGGCCTGTAGAGCTGCTACCAGCAGGGTGTTTTTGCCAACAGCATGAGGATACTAGAATTAGGAAATCATGTTCAAAAATAAACAATAATTTATCAAAATTGAATACAACAGCATTATTAAATATATACATGTTTTGACAATGCAATTATTCAGAAATTTCTTTTTACCACATATGATTACTGAGGGAATATGATGTGAATTGTCAATGATTCCAGGAGGAAAATACTACTCACATCATCAATGGGTTTGTCTGGGAAGAAGGAGTAGGCAGTGGAGGAGGCATGAAGCACACTCAATACGAGGGGGTTCTCTGGATCAGCCACCATTCTGTAGTAACAAATAGCAACAATAGAGATAATGTATTAAAGGTAAATGAAATGAACGAGAAGTCTTTGATGAGACTGTCGCTCTACTAGTTTGTATTATCAATACTTGAATAGAAAAGTTGCATTACAGCTTGAAACACTTCTTAAAAAAAAAAATAATTGTGTATTCATTTCTGATGTTTTCTTACTTTGTACAGTTTTACTGAAATAAAACCAATACTGTAGGAACAGTAGCATTCAAAGAATATCACAGAAAATTCTACTTTTAGGAGGCATGGCAACACCATTTTATAGAATTTTAAATGAGTACTGTATAATGGGTATTTTCTGCGGTTGGAATTTTTTTGTGATTTGACCCCTGAAAGGTAGCAAATTAATTTCTGTGTTTTCAATTTTTGCGGTTGCATTACATGTATACCACAAAAATTTATGAGATATGCACACCAAATACTAAGGATTTGGCAGAACACTGACATGTTTACATTTTATAAATTCATTTAAAGACATGTTGAGAAAAGGTGCCTGAGAACTTATACTAAACTCTACTATCTTTTAGTTAGTCTGTGTAAATTATTTTCAAATTCTGTTTATTTCATACATCCATAAGCATAAATCTTTGTTGTTTTTGTTTTTGTTTTTGTTTTTTTTTTTTTTAGAATATAGAGTAATAAGTTATAACATTAAACCAGGTTGACCGACATACGCACCACTTGTCTGATCAGACTTGCTTGTATAAAACATCTGAATAAATATTGAAGAAATATTTTGCTATTGTAATTTTTGCAGATTTGTTCTATCCATAAAATTCCACAAAAATTAGACAACCCCAGAAAATACCCATTATACGTTATATAAGATTAAAAGCTGGTATAGTCTACCCAATTTCACTGAAAGCAGACCAGAACTGTACAAGTAAAATAAGATAATTCCATACATTATTTTATTTGTCTTTAGTTTGGCAAACTTTCATCAAAACCAAATCTATTTCACTTGTACTAAGTTCTATTTCAATGGGACAAAAATTAAGGAGGAGTAGCACTTACAAAGAATTTCACAGAAATTCCTATATCTAGTAAAAATAGCAACACCATTCATCAAAATAAGAAAACTAAAAAATAGATTTGTGTAACTTGGTGTAGTTTATTTTTACTTATGTAGGTAGACACATTTGGGGGGGGGGGGGGGGTGTTTACACACTAACAGACTGACAGATGGTGACAAAAACCTAAGCATGAAAATAGGTTTCTAGTCTTTGACCATTAAAGCTTAGAAGGATAATAGTAACCCTATCCTTATTCATTACATTGTTCAGTTTCTTCAAACTACCCGTCACTTACCCCACTCCGCGGTACAGCAGGGGGTTGATGTTCTTGGATCCAACAATAAGGGGAGCATCAAGCAGATTTTTTGAGTCGGCAATCACCATTGTGTGCTAAAAGTAAAAACAAAAAGAATTCTTCCTGAAATTTAATATGATGTTTTATTATAAGTTACAAATGTATATACTTCCTATCATTCAATAAAACTTTTTAAGAGCTGTGCTGTTTTTGTCTTCACTATTCCCTCACCTTCCCCTGATCCTTGATGTCATAGTTAAGGTGATCAATAACAGCTGTCTTCTCATAGTCAAACTCCACTCCGCACTCTGTGGCAAGCTCACGAATCGGATCACCTGTGTGTCAGAAAATATTGGATACACGGTATTAGTACCTCAACATACAGAAATGTTTTACTGTTGAAAATAGCTTGTAAATGGATTGACAGAATACCTATGTCTGAGCTGGCTGCAACTAAAACATTTCCCCCTCCATCAATAAAGTTAGTGATGGCTGCCACATCAATTGATCCTCCAAACTCTGTCAAAAAGATTTTAAAGAAATTCAAGTACCGGTGTCAAAGTTACCTTGTATAAAATTACAACAAAGAAAACTCATATACAAACATGGCAAATTATAACAAATTTAATTCTAAGTGTCATATATATAAGTGAAATATGAATTTTAGATAAATGTATGTTGTTACCTTCTACAGAAGGAGAAAACAGAATAAGGTTGTCGAACAGGAACTCCCCGTATTTTACTAGGGCCAGACTGGAGTCATCAGCGGTCTTGAAGGTCAACTCAAATCCACGATCTAACATTGAATAAAATGAACACAATATACATGACCATCATTCAACATCTGAAAATTGAATGTGTCCTGTATGCTTAATATTGCTGGCAAGGCACAGACAATTTCAGTTAGCCCCCTTGTCATCCACACCTCAACCCTAAAGAGCACGTATGGGACAAGATAGACCAGAGAGTGGCACAGCTTTTCCAGCTGCAATATCTAGCGGAATTAGAGGGAGACCTTGTCAACACATTGAATAACCTTCAATAAAGATTTTTCTTCCAATTTTTTGAACTTTTTGAGGAGCAGATGCCTTGCTCTTAATTCGTTTGAATGGAGGATAAATGCATTATTGAATTTTGTGAAATTTAATTTCTAGGGTTCTTAAACATTTCTGCATTTTGTGATAAAGCACTTCAATAAAATTTGACTGAATGAAAAAATTTGCTTTGTTACTTTTTGGTATATAATTAATAATTTATATTGTCAAAATAATCTAATAGAAAAACAATGTAATCAAAAACTTGCCCAGGAACTTAGAAATTTTGATTTATTAGTATACATATCATGCTTACTTTTGATAGCTGAAATATTGTTATATGTGTTTAAAGACAATTTTCTGCTTAAAAACATGACACAGTGATTCAGATTTGTTGCACTGTACAAGTATGTGGTGTTCCAACTACAATATCAAAGGCTAGTGGTATATCTAGTCCTCCCCACTCTCTCGTTAATGTTTTTTGCTGATATTCTCCAAATCACAGAACAGATTCAGTTCAAATTTTTCAGACACATTAACTATGTTGAACTTTAATCACAAAAACACAAAAATTTCAAAAATATTACAAAATGGTGGTATTTATGAACTAAATTTGATCACATGAACCGGTATCCATTTTTGGTTTCTACATTTATAATTTAGCACTAGATTTCATCGTTTCGGACAGATGTCATTATCATACATGTAATATTGTTGATATATTTAAGTATGTTGGAACTAACTTTAACGTAGTAGATATGCCCAAGAAGATTGAAGCAATTCTTTTAAAGGTGCTTAGACACAGATTTGAAGTTAATATTTACTCAAATTTTCTATATAATTTCATGACTTTTATGTTGCTAGAGCATTTCATATGAAAATTTGATAAAAATCTTATTTTATCTGGAAGTTATTGAAACTTCGAATTTCTAGATGCGTTTGATAGACACATCCTTGCACTTTCATAAACTTTAACTTTATCCTTATTACTTTAGAAAAGTGGCAATTTTGTTGTTTATTAATGAAAAATATTAAAACTATAATGCAGAAATTTCAGAGTAGAAATGTAGAAAGCAAAATCCTCTCACCAGTATTGTCAGTCCTTGCTCAGTGGTGTGTGCAGAGTATAACAATTGAACACACCCGGTGAAACGTAAACATTAACAACAACAGAGCTCGTGCCCTATTTACAAGAACAGTTTATGTTTCACGGGTGTATTCAATTTGTTAAACTCTGTGTAACACAATTACACAACACTGAGCACGGGCTGACAGTACTTAAGTGAGTGGGTTTTGCTTTCGCACATTTTTACTCTGAATTTTCTGGATTATAGATATAATATTATTCATTAATACACAACAAAATTGCTATTTTTCTTAAGTATTAAGGATAAAGTTAAAAATTGTGAAAGTGCAAGGATGTGTTAATCAAACGCCTCCCGAAATTCGTAGTTTCAATAATTTCCAGATTAAATAAGTTTTTAATTTTATTTTCATGTGAAATGCTATAGCAACATATAAGTTGTGATATACAGGAAATTTGAGGAAATATAAACTTCAAATCTGTGTCTATGCACCTTTAAGTGAAATGAAGAATGTTAATAAAACCAGAAGTCTCTGTTGAGACTGTAGCTTTACTGGTTTGTACTTATAACAAAGGAAGAGAAAAGAAGCACTTGAACTTGAAACTTTGCAACAGCAATAAATAGAATAATGATCCTTGATTTAGTCTTTTTTTGTGGCAAGATTGCAATCAGACTAAAACTGTAGGAGGAGTAACCTTTTAAAAGAATTTTACGGAAATTTCAATTTTAGTAACCATGGCAACATCATTCAACAAAATCAAAAACAATAAAGACAATTATGTATCTCAGTAAAGTCTACTTGTGAGCGAAGTTATATTGAAATCAGCCCAAAACTGTAGGAGGAGAAGCATTTTGAAAGTATTTCAAGAAAATTTTTATTCTTAGTAACCATGGCAACACCATTCATCGAAATCAAAAACTGATAAAGATGATTGTGCATCTTAGTGTACTTGTGTGCTAAGTTAAACTGAAATCAGATCAAAACTGTACTAGAAGTATGGTCTTAAATGTATTTCACAGAAATTTCTATTTTTAGTAACTATGGCAACACTGTTCATTGAAATCAAAAACCAATATATAGAATTATGCATCTTAGTGGAGTCTACTTGTATGCTAAGTTATATTGAAATCAGATCAAAACTATGGGAGGATTAGCATTTTGAAAGTTTTTTTTTACAGAAATTTCTATTTTTAGTAACCATGGCAACATCGTTCATTGAAATCAAAAAACGATGATTATGTATCTTAGTGTAATCTACTTGTTCTCCAATTAATATTGAAATCAGACCAAAACTATAGGAGGAATAGCCTTTTGAAAGTATTTCCCAGAAATCTCTATTTTTACTAACCATGACAACACCATTCATTGAAATCAAAAACCAATACACAGAATTATGTATCTTAGCGTTTTTGACTTATGTGCCAAGTTATATTAAAATTAGACCAAAAATAGTACGAGGAGTAGCGTTTTGAAAAATTGTTTTCAGATAGACAGATGACGGACACCTTACTATCCAATAAGCTCTTCTAGTCTCCGACTAGTAAAGCTAAAAAAATCGCAATCCGGAACATTCAGGATTTGAAAATCAAAAGACCTTAATTTGGCATTGTTATCATATTCATGTATGCGTGAATGTATTTCAAAGCAGACAAGGTGCCTGACAAGTATGAAGCGATTCTATTCAGCAGAATGAGCAATATCAATAGTAAACTGAGAGTCGGGAGGACTAGATTAACTGCTTGCCAATATCAAACACAACTTACTGGGCTGCGTTCAAGATTGTGGCAGCCAACCTTACAGCTAGCTGGTAGATATTTATCTCTATTGAACAGACAGCTGGCATGGCTGCTAAGTGTTTGATTTCAGAAAATATACCAATAAAAACTTATTTTTGGGACAAAAAGAGTTTATTTCATTGACAAGCAGAAATATACATAAAAAATTACATTTAATTCTCTAAGATGTAGGAGACAATCCCCCATTTTTGTTAAAATCTTGTGCACTGCAAAGTGGTAACTAAGGAGGTTATCTTGGATTTGGTTCTTAGCATCAAGTACCAAATTGGAGATGTGTCTTTTTCTGCGCAATTGCAATCAAAGTTCTAGAATTTTCTGGGCTATATCCAGCAGTTAATTTGTGACCTAACAGTTACTTCTTGAGTGAAATAAAGAAAACCAGTTCTGGTTAACATGAGCACAATGTGAAGTAATCATACTTATCCACGCCTCATCGCACACAAGGTGGTGTACAGTTACTCAGACAATGGAAATACATATTTTCCTTAAAAGTGTTCAAACGCAGCAATGTTAAAACTACCCCTGCTTTAGATCGCTTTTTAAATAATACCTAGAATAAATATTAGTAGTCACTTACTTGCGAGTTTTTGTCTTTTTAAAATAAAAAGCAAAATTGTGAAAGTTGCCTTGAAATAGCTAAATAAAGCTACCTGAGGTAGGTAAATAAATTAAGCTACGGTAGGTAATTTTAGCTACGGATTGTACTGGACCTGGCTTAATCGTGTTTGTGGACTCTTGTTGTAAGCGGAGCATATTACCTCGTAGAGTTCGGAAAAATACAGAGTGCGTTTCCCTGATTGACCAGTTGTCCACTAGCACAAGTGTTCTTTTACCAGCTGTTGCTGCACAGATGCAAAAGCTTATGAAAGGCAGTAACCACTTCATTTTCAATTTGTTCTAAACGTGGCAATACTGGAGCCGGTTTCCGTTAGGTGGCGCTATATAATCTTTCCTTCTAAGGACTGGGTAATTGTAGTTCCAGACAGTATTTATTTTCTACATATCTTACCGGGCGATTTTTCTCCCCCTTAATTTAATCTTAATAGGATTTTGTACCTATCCGACTCGTCAAGTCAACTTCATCCCTATAGATATTTTAACTCGGTACTATCAGGTTGAAGTTCAATCTTAACCAGGACTGACTCCAATTTTTAGCTCACCTGAACTAGGGACGTACAGTACTAAAGTATATACGTCCCTGCCTGAACCAAAGTTTTTGTTCATCTGTCTGGCTGTTCGTTGGTCCGTCTGTCCATCTATGTCTGTTAAAACTTTTCACATTTTTGACTCTTTTCCAGATCCACTGGACGGCCAATTTCAACCAAACTTTCCAATAAGGTAGGGCTAGTGCTAGCCTTAGGGGGGTAAGCACAGGGACTTGCGCCTGGCGTGTAAAAAATATTAAAAAACAAAAACAAAAACAAACAAACAAAACAAAACATATACGATATACTAAACGACGGTGTTGTTTTAGTACCGTATATGATTTTTTATGTCCCCTAATATAGGTTTTGCCCTGTCCATCCGTCTGTCTGTCTGTCAGCAAAAACTTAAATTTAACCTTGCCCATAACTTTTGATTGGTTGGAGCTATGGCTTTCATATTTCACATATGTATTTCTTATGACAAGACCTTTCTTTGGGTACCATCATATTGACCTTGATCTTGGAGTTTGACCCACATTTGCAAAATTTTATGAGACTAACTTTGGCCATAACTTTTGAACACTTGGAGCTTGGAGCTATCAAACTTCACAAGTATATTCCTTGTGAGAAGGCCTTCCTTTGGATACCAACATCTTTGACCCTTTGACCTTGAAGCTTTCGGGCTTGTGTTGAGTTAGGGTTAACCTGAAAGGGGTTACCCTTTTAAGTAAAGTAGGGATAATCAAGGATGGGAATAATAGGGCTGGTATCTTAAAAAAATCCTTTTCTTTGGAACCGATGGCCCAAAAAAGATAAAACTTGTGTTGAAGCTTCCTGGCATAGATCTTGTAGTTTAGTTTTGAATTTGTTCAAACCATAGGTTGGGGTCATAAGTTGGAGGGGGGGGGGGGTCAATTTAACGTTTTCCATGGGAATATATATACATGTAGTAAAATCTGTAAAATCTTCTTAATAACAACTTGACCCTTATCAATCATATATATGAATATGCAAACGTCCACAGATAGTGCAGATTTTTTTTTTAGTAGTCCTCGGGGAAAGCTAGGATGGGACCCCCAAAAGGAGATAAAAACTTTGAAGTTTTTAAATGGGAATGGTACGAAAGCCTAGAAGGGTAAAAAAAAAGAATATGAAAAAAATAATAAAAGTCGTAATAACGACTTTTTACCCCGTAATTACTACTTTTTATCTCGTAATTACGACTTTTTATCTCGTTATTACGACTTTCTTAAGTCGTAATAACGACTTTTTATTTCGTAATAACGACTTTTTATCTCGTAATTACGACTTAATAAAGTCATTATAATCACTTTTTATCTCGTTATTACGACTTAAGAAAGTCGTAATAACGACTTTTTATTTATTTATTTTTTTCATTTTGAACATTTTCCTAATTTGATACTTTTAAGTTACAAAAGCGTAGTAGTACGGAAACGTATAATGGTCTCGTGTTGTTAACGAGGTTCGCTCCTGAGCTTTTGAGCAGATTTTTATCTTAACCTGTATTTCAAAAACTCTGCATAATGTTTTAATTCTTACAATAAATTTGGATCCTACAATGCCAATTAAACTATATTCAATTAAAACTCCATGATTAAATTCCATACCAAAAGCATTAAGTGAGGAACTATATTTTGTGGCGGAAGGCTTATTTTGTGGCGGAAGGCTTTTTTAGAAGAAAATGGTCATTTTTTCTCTTTCAAAGTATTTAAAGTATGTTAAGTTTGGATTCCTATTTTTCCATGCAGCCTGCACACAGGGGTATTTTTTGTCGTAAACTGTTTTATGCTGCATGGTCCTAAATTATATATTAAATAAACTATCATGAATTCTATCATTACATTTGATAAATATAGCAAACATATTGTGAAAATCCAGGAAAAAATAGCCCTAATTTAAGCTTAAAATTAGCACTATTTTAGTAATATCTAAAAATTTACATCACAAACCCCCACTTTTAATATCCTTTTCTGAATATATAAGATACATTTAACCATTCTTCTTAAATTCAGTAAAATGTCATTACTTTCAAACGAGGTTTTTGCTTGTTAAACTCTTAATGCAGAAAAAATGAAATTTTTGAGTGCAAAAAAAAAAGGTCAAATAATTGAACATGCGAAGTAATTTGAAATTTTTTTGTTGTCACAAATTTTAATGTGTCTATTCAAGATGAAATAAGACTGTGTTTGTTCCCATAACTTATTTGAATAAAAAAAAAACGGAGGAAAAACTTTAAAAAATTGATTTATGCGTAAGACGTACATGTATTTACAGTGCAAAAAGGTCAAACTTAATGCTCTGTAGCGCCAAAAGAAGCCCATTGACCCCCATGTTTTGTTTTGATTTTTAATTAAGCTATGTGTATGAATTTTAAAAATACACTTGATAAAAAATTCTCATTACTTTTGATGGCAGGATCCAACCTCCTTAAGTTGGAACGCGATATTTTTTTTATTATAATATTGTCCAAAACGGTTGCTTCGAAGTTTGCAGATTTATCTATGACAACAATCTCCAAGGACACTTTTTTGACGTGTTTTGGACGATTTACACACTTTATTCTATCAAAGACGAATTTATAAATGTTGCACTGATATAATTCATACAAATTATACCTCTAAATTGAATATCGCAGACATTACTGCTACGCATCGCAGACATTATTCCAACGTATTATATATGACACATAGGCGTCGGAAGCAAATTTGAAACGAGGTGGTGGTAAGGGGGGGGGGGGCTAAACCAACCAACTAGGAAAAAAAACGTTTGGGGGCTAAGCCTCAATTTTCAATGCCTATATTATGTTTATCTTTGCAAAAAGAGGGGGGGGGGGTAAGCCCCCTCCCTGTTCCGACGCCTATGTGACCATTTCATGTATGCAACTTATTTAAATCAGAGAAATTTATTCATCCAAATTTGAACTACTTGTAATACTCATTCAAGCAAAATTGACATAGATTTGTCAATGTACTATAAAGTATTGAATCGTTTGATTTGCAGTTAATTTTTTAATTGCCTCACAGTTGATACGAGTGGTATGCATAAATAGAGAGATCAATTTCAGCTATGATTTTTTTCAATACAGTTAAATTGTTGTTCAAACTTAAGATGACAAACGTACGTTAACAGACAAGAACTGTCAAAATATCGACGTGAAAGCTTAATAAATGGAACCATATCGACATTATTTATTCTCATTATATATAAATGGGAGAATATTGCTACACATTTTTAGCTCACCTGAGCCGAAGGCTCAAGTGAGCTTTTCTGATCAAAATTTGTCCGTTGTCTGTCGTCGGCGGCGGCGTCTGCGTCGTTAATTGTTGTCGTAAACTTTTCACATTTTCATCTTCTTCTCCAGAACTACTGGGCCAATTTCAATCAAACTTTGCACAAAGTATCCTTGGGTGAAGGGGTTTCAAGTTTGTTCAAATGAAGGGCTGTGTCCTCCTCCAAGGGGAGATAATTACGAAATAGCAAAAAATTAATGGCATTATTGAAAAATCTTCTTCTCAAGAACCAGTGGGCCAGGAAAGATGAAACTCATGTGGAATTATTGTCAGGTAGTGTAGATTCAAGTTTGTTCAAATCATGACCCCTGGGGATAGGGTGGGGCCACAATGGACAATCAAAGTTTTACATAGGAATATATAGGAAAAATCTTCAAAAATCTTCTTCTCAAGAACAGCAAATCTATGATTGGTCATATTTATTTGGAAGCATCCTCAGGTGGTGTAGATTCAAGTTTGTACAAATCATGACCCCCGGGGATAGGGTGGGGCCACATTGGACGATCAAAGTTTTACATAGGAATATATAGGAAAAATCTTCTTCTCAAGAACAGCAAAGCTATGATTGGTCATATTTATGTGGAAGCATCCTCAGATAGTGTAGATTCAAATTTGTTCAAATCATGACCCCCAGGGGTAGGGTGGGGCCAAAATGGACAATCAATGTTTAACATAGGTGTACATAGGAAAAATCTTCAAAAATCTTCTTCTCAAGAACAGCAAAGCTATGATTGGTCATTATTATATGGAAGCATCCTCAGGTGGTGTAGATTCAAGTTTGTACAAATCATGACCCCCGGGGGTAGGGTGGATCCACATTGGACGATCAAAGTTTTACATAGGAATATATAGGAAAAATCTTCAAAAATCTTCTTCTCAAGAACAGCAAAGCTATGATTGGTCATATTTATATGGAAGCATCCTCAGGTGGTGTAGATTCAAATTTGTTCAAATCATGACCCCCAGGGATAGGGTGGGGCCAAAATGGACGATCAATGTTTAACATAGGTGTACATAGGAAAAATCTTCAAAAATCTTCTTCTCAAGAACAGCAAAGCTATGATTGGTCATATTTATGTGGAAGCATCCTCAGGTGGTGTAGATTCAAGTTTGTTCAAATTATGACCCCTGGGGGTAGGGTGGGGCCACAATGGACGATCAAAATTTTTACATAGGAATATATAGGAAAAATCTTCAAAAATCTTCTTCTCAAGAACAGCAAAGCTATGATTGGTCATATTTATGTGGAAGCATTCTCAGGTGGTGTAGATTCAAGTTTGTTCAAATCATGACCCCGGGGGTAGGGTGGGGCCACAATGAACAATCAAAGTTTTACATAGGAATATATAGGAAAAATCTTTAAAAATCTCAAGAACAGCAAAGCCAGGGTTTGTCATATTTATACGGAAGCATCCTCAGATAGTGTAGATTCAAGTTTGTTCAAATCATGACCCCCATTCCCTT